AAATGACTGGCTGAACATACTACTGAATATACATGTTCTGGGTTTGTAAACCATCAGTGAAGATACATTCACAAACAATAAGTGTAGATGAATAATTAAGACTAAAAATAACTTTAGTGTTGACATCCTAGCCTGGCCCTACTCACCACCATAGTCCTGCGGTGCCATTGGTCTGGACAGAACCTCTTTGAGAGCCTGAAGCCACTCCCTCCGCTCCCTTTCTTGTTCACACATGAAGACAAATTGTCGTTCAGGCGTGCCCATTAAAATGCCACACTTCCACTTGTTGCCGCGTGTGTGTTTTGGGACACACTCCGTTACAGTGTAGCCATTGCTATTTGTTCCGATGAAAATGACCCCTAACTCCTTTGCGTCCTGTATTCACAGTCATGAGAGCAGAGCAAAAACAGTCATTACAGTAGTTGCTATAAAAGTGCAAGGCTTGACGTTGGAATAAGACAAAACTGAGTCCTCACCATTTGACCTTTGAAGTAGAACAGCTTCCTGTTATTAGAGTCCAAAACAAACCATCTCTTCTTGAACGGCTCCTTCTGCTGTTGGCAAACATAAATGTTAACAGTTTGCACACACAAATTCGCATTTCAGCGTATGGTCAATATTTCCCTTTGTCCCAACAACAGTGTGTGTATGATGTGTGCTATGCACACATCATACACACACTGTTGTACTGTTGTACTGTTGTACTGTTGTACTTCGAAGTTTTAAAGTAGCTAGATTAGCTTAGTAAAGCTAGTGTTAACATTCTCTAAAAATCTGTTGTGTTGTGTTTAAGAACACATTCAAATATTATTTGAAATGAGAAGGAAGGAGTTAAGAAATAGTGTTTAATGTTATGCATTATATGATATTTTTTGACTCTTTTGACCCTGTCATCAAGTTCTTCAGGCGGCCATATTATCAACCACTGGTGCAGACATATTTTCCAAGACCAAATCATGGAGCCAGGCATTACATGGTGCAGTTTAAGCAGGACAGGAAGATGTTTTGATTTTTATAACAGAATAATTGCTTACTTTCACTTAAACAGGAATAACTATCCAACTTACCAGCGGCCCTGTCTTCTCCATGTATCCTTCTTTGAGGTATTTACTTGTTATCATTGGTATCAGCTGGTACAGAGATTACACAGAGGTTACACATGTAGTTGGTTTCAAATCCAATGTTTCATTTTTTGTTTGTTTAAAATACTATCCAGTTGGTATACAGAATTTGAAATCAATCAGAGCAGGTTTATAAATCATACCACAGTTTCAACATCTTATTCCTGCTAAAATTGAAGGATTTAAAAAAATATATATATACAGTATATAATAAAGTGTATTTGTTGCTTACATCTTCATCATTTCCTGTGGGGTAGGCTGTTTTCAGGTAAGCATAACGAGCAGCACGGATGGCATTGAACCATGTGACTATTTCCTAAAGTAGAGGAGAACTTTAATATATCTTCAGGCAAAAATATATAAAAACATATTCATATTAAGTCAGAATGTATTAACTGCAGGTTAAATCTTCAGGGCTTAACACGGTGCTATGTACCTCAGCATTTTCATGGTAAATGTAGAGGTTCCTTATGTGATTGGTGTCTTGGTAGGTGATCTGCAGACCATGAGGATGACCGATCTTCTCAGGCTGAAAAGTTGCATTCATGTCCTTGATGGGGATCACAGCTTTAGGGCCTTTTGACTCCTTCCATACAAATAAAGTGGAAATAGAGTGTGTACAAACCCAAGGCTAATAGCTAACTGTTAATCAAAGTCATATTTAGATTCATAATTTAAGTTGTAGGGCTGCTGGGTTCAAAATTATAAACAAACTACATAGAAATCAGTTCACTTTGAACTCGGCTGCAAAATAAAGTTCAGTTGGTGAAGATAATTGCTGAAAAATAATATGTGAAAATTGATATCTAAAACATAATTTAAGAAGCAGAATGGTCATGGAGGCTCCTTGGAGTTTAACACATTTTAAATAAACTCACATTTTCTTTGTTGTAGTACGTCAGGGTGAATTCCTGCTCTGACAGCACAAACTTCCTCTTCAGAAACTGTGTCTTTTCTTTTCCTTTTTTCCAAAGAAAACCTTCGTGGAAACCTGTCATAGATTCAAATGTTAACTCACAGGATTTTTACTGTTTAGAACATGGAGCTGGTCAGGAGTGAACAAAAATGTGATTGTTGAAATTCCTCCAGCCCAAATGCCTGGAGCTGTTTCTGTCCTGCATGATGTCACCTTTGGCATAATCAAGTGGAGGATACTTGGTCTCCCCGGTAAACTCAGCCCGCTCATATTTGGCCCTGATCCACTGTTCTCGCAGGACACTGTGGTTCAACAGCGGACATGAGAAACAACAGTCAACAGTTGCACTTCTAGTTTTTTTGTTTTGTTTCAGGGAAAGTGCTTCATCAGCGGTCTGTGAATGCTCATTTACAGATACAGGAAATAATAGTCCATTATAGAGAAGTCACAGGAGCGACCTCATGATTTTAACAGCCTGGAATATTTAAACACGACTTACGCGTGATCGTTGTGCTGAGGTTGATAGTAGTACGGTGGAACAGCTTTCTCATACAGGGCCCGGGCACTGGCGTTACCAGTGGACTTCATAAACTTCCCATGAAGACACAAACACATGCAGAGAAAACATACATTTTTAGACTGCCATGATGTCAGCGTGCATGTCAAAAGACCAGTACCTCCACCAGCTCATCCTCCCAGTAGTCCAGCTTAATGGATTTGACCCGACTGGACAGGCTGCGGTGGATGCCAGAGCAATTCAGACACACAAACACTCCCAACTTGTAGGACGCCCAGTCTGGATCTGTGGAGATCAGAAGGAAAGGTTGTCGTTTTATTGGGATCTAAGGACATATTCCACTATTAATATATATATCCTCAATAACACAACAATGAATGTATTATTTAGACAAAAAAATGTTCAAAAAAGGCTTTACAAAAATATATACTTATGTAATTAACTAGACAAGAGCATATATGACTTCAGTGATCACAGAAAAAACAAAAATCATAAAACAGTTATTATCAACTGGTGGTCCACAGGCCAGATCCAGCCCGCCATTCCATTCAAAAACGGCCTGGTGTTTCCTCCCACGGTCTAATTGCAGGTCGATTGTTCAGCCTTTATTATTCATAGCTGACTCCTGGCAAAGGCTACTTTGGTCCCAGGGAGTTTAATGTACTAGAGGGCGAGACGCTCTAACTCTGCAGAAAAGAAACTATTACAATAGAACAATAGAGCGCACCAAAATATAATGGAACAAAAAAAAAAGTGACGTGACTTAGTGTAAACTTAGCTTTAATGGGGTGTGTTGCAGATTTCATTGTTTTGTCCTCGAAAAAAACAGTTAGATCCTGGTTATTGTCCACAGGTTACATTACCAAGTATAGATTTGAGTTCTTACACTTTAAGACCAGGACTCCACTGGGTTTAATTTATTTACAGTAACAAAGGAGATCTTAATAGTCTTTTAGTCTTTAATGTGTATGTTGATTTTCTTTAAATTATATTTGTTGAACCAAAAATTCTATCTTAGACATTGTGCTTTGCTAGTACTGCAACATATATGGTTAAGTCTGACATAAGAATTAACATTAAGAGTGATTTTTATGTGCGTGTATAATTCTGGCCAGGGTTTAACCATTTTTTTGTTTCATGATGGACCTTTACTGCTTCAAGTTTTTACCGTTCTTTTGTTTACTTTGAACAAACTGAAACCAATTATAAGTATCAAAAAAGTAGGAGACAAAACCACATTGAATTAAAAAACAAAACCACTCAAAATCAAATCCAACATTTACTGACCAGGAGCTTAGACTCTGGCGACTTCCCTCTCTTTTTAAAACAATCAAACATGTAGATGAAGCTGGTTCCAAAAATAATTCAAATGTTTCTGTCCTAAGATTCCCCCAATGTTTGTACGGTATGATATCAAAAAACGTTTGTTCTTTTTTACCTGGAGCGTTGCAGTCAGCACACCGACTGTTACACGGCTGCTTCAGCAGCTCCAGCAGGATCTTTCTGTTTCTCTCATGGTTGGCCATCTCCAGGCAAAGGCAGGGACTCCTGTCTCGGTTCTCATCCAATAATGAAGTCCTGGCTCCGAAATAAACATGGTGCGCACATGGTTTTGCATTCGGCAGAGTGCCTCTGGCAAAAATAAAAAAGTGAAGTGGAAGTTGCCACGAACACATAGGATGTTTCAACATTCAGCAGAGAGAAGAGGCGGACCATCCTCCCTCCTTCCTCTGGTGGTGCTGCAAAAATACACTGCTTGAAAACCCAACCCTCTGATAAGAAACACACACTGGTGACACCTTCTAACTGTTGTTGTGATAAGTCTTTATTTGAACCACAACAAAATCCATTGTGTTAAATGTGTACAAAGACCAAGAGGGAAAAAAAATAAGGAAAACAAAAACACTGTGATAAATGTGAAGGTGATGCTGTTTTTTTTTACAAACTTAATAATAAACGTCCTAAGTGCATCAGCATTAGTCCGATGGATTCATACTGTCTATAAAGATTCATACCATAAAAAAAAAAAAACTTAAATTGATTAAATAGAGATAGTGAGAGGTTCGCGATTGATTCGGAAAAGTTGTTTCTACTTGATTTTAAAAAAAGACTTTACAAAACAAATTTATAAATGCAGTTATCAAACACTACTGTACAAAAACAAGAATAGCACACAACACCGCTGCAGCACCATTTATTTTACACCAATTGTAGTAAAGATGTGTGCCATCTGTGAAAGTTAGTTGAGCACCCGTCTTCAGGGATTCAGTTAATTCCAATGAGAAAAAGTGGAATTGTTCCCACAGAGTGTGTTGTTGTAACTTTAATTTATTCACAGGTTGTGAGGCGTCAGACGTACGGCAGCACTGTGTCCATTCCTGTGCTCCTGCCGCCACGGCACTGTTCTGAGTGAAGCTTACTCCTGTGAGCCATAACTGTTTCTTTATGGCCAAAAGAACTGAGGTCATCTGAGGTTCAGGGGAAGTCTTCAGCGAGGTGCTGCAGTGTGTTTTTTGTAAGACCCAGGTGTACAGCATCCAGATAGTGCAGAAATCTGGAGGGGAAAAAAAACAGACACAGCTGAGATGTTAATGATGTGTTCATTTTGAAGTGCTCTGTGAAGTCCCACCAACAGAATTGATTAAATAATAGTTCTTAAACAAAAACCAAAATAAAAGTTGCTGCTTGCCCACCTTCGTTTGATCTTGCCCTTCTCCTTCAGTTGCTCCGTTCTGCAGATGTCGCGTAGAACAGGCAGATACTCGACGGCAGCTGCTGCTCTGTTTCCCAGACTAACCACTCCTCGGAGCAGCAGACTCTCCATCATCTCTCTCCGCCTCTGCACCAGCCTGACGTTTGTTTTGCGAAACATTATTGTTAGTACTTTAAGTTAAACACTGTTTAGAATTACTTTCAGCCAAAGTCGTACTCACTGTGGTGGACAGGGACCGTCCTGAGAGAAACTGTAACCATCGCGATGAGAGGCAACAGGGAGAGTCACTTCCTCTGTGGCCTCTTTTCTCACCTCTCCGTCCAGTTCTTGGACCGTGCCCCAGGCTTTAGCTACGGAATCACGACACTTGCGAAAGCTCAGAGCCTCCACTGCAGCCTGGATCTCCAGGACTTGCCCTCCCCTCGTCCAGCTCTCCCCATTAGTCTCAAACCTCCACTCATCTGTCATCCCATCCTTCAACACAGCTCCTGCTGCTGCCATTCTCCTGTCAACAGCGCCTCCATCTGGATACGCCAGCACAGAGGAGTCCAGGTACGACATGTTGTCAAAAAAGTCAGCGATTGAATCCAGACACTGTCCCACCGGGAGACTTCTCAGCCGCTCCTCGGGAGTCAGCACTTTCCTTTTCACCGTTTCTGAGATTAACCCATCGTTGACAACCTCTTGATCTTGAGGGGTCACCGGTGGCTTAGGTAAAGTCATAAAATCATCTTCTGAATCAGAGTCAAAATTGAGTCTATTTCTGTCCAAACACTTTTTTTTCTTGCTGTTCTTTGTCGTCTGGGAGATTTTAACTGGACTGCCATTGTCTGAGCAGTCGCCCGACTCAGCAGCCTGGTCTGGTTTGGGTAAAGAGGAGGTGCGGTGTGTGAGTGTGGTGTGTGGTAAAGGTAGAAGCCTCTCCAGGTTGGTGTAGAGAAGGTCGGCTCCTCGACGCCTGCTGTCCACCAGCAGCTCCCAGCAAACATCTTCCTTCAGACTCTGACTCTGAAAAACAAAAAAACAAGTAAAAATTACAGAGTTGTAGAAAATTCCACAAGGAATCAGGAGAACTTAAGAAAGAAACAAAAAATACCATTCATCCATTTTTTTCCATTTAAAAATAACCTTTTTACCTTTAGCAGCTCCCATATGTCCTCCCCAGGTTGGATGTTCCTCAGGCCTAACATGCTCTCAGTGCAGCCAGTGTCACAGGGAGGAGGAGGAGCCACCACACAGTCTTCTTTTGCCTCTCCATCAAGCTGTGCTCTTACTTCAGATTTAAGAAAAAAGGGAAAAAAAATAAGGATATGTTTACTAGGATTCAGATATGTGTTACAATACCTGCAGAAATATTTTGTTGACAGAGTGACACCTAACAAACATCACCCTTGACCTTCAAAGTTCATATTTCATGTACATATAAAGTGTAATAATTAATGCATTATTGTTTGAAAAGTACAAAAACCAACTGGTGTAAAATTCAGTGTCTCAATAAAAGTGTGAATCTCATGGCAGAATATTTGAGAACTACCGATTTTTCAAGTTTTTTTCCCCTACATTTTTAAAATAAAATTTTTAACTTGACTTTTCCCCAAAATAAAAAACAACAATGAAGATCAATAAACATAAAAATCATCACTATGAACTGCAAAAAAAGGCTTTTCTTTCTAAGAAGTCTTAAAACTATTCACCATTGTTATCGAGATGGTTGAATGGCTTGGCAACATGGCGCCCCCCAGCAGTGCGAGTATAGAACTGCAACTGCAGCAAACTCTGCCTGATGTCACAGCCGTTGAGCCTGAGCAGAGAGTTGATGTCGAACACATCTGTCCTCACGTCTTCAGCCAGACACAGCAGCTGCAGGTAGGAGCTCACATTCGGCTGTGACACACAGACAAAAGACACGTCATCGAGTTTAGTCCATGACTAAGATCCTGTATTATATTCTCACACAGTAGTTACACAGTGCATCTTCACACAAGTTCACTCACCAGCACTGGTGTTTTAAAGTGGATTTCTTCAAAGTTGCCGTCAAACATGCTGCCGAAGGCAGGATCTGAAAAACAAACCAGATACAGTGTGAATCAGAAAGATGAAAATAAAATACAACGTTATAAAGGCTGGTCTTCATTCAACATGGTTGTGGAATTCTGGTTTGGTTTGGAATCTTTTGTATACCTTTAAAATGTTTACCTCATAATTTCAATGTCTCATAATACACATTAACATGAATCCAGCTAAATGTGGTGACTGGAAGAATGGAAACAATCATGAGAGCATTTACACACACACACACACAGGTTGAACACCTGACAGAGTAAAATGTCATCTTTGACTTTGGTCGTCATCTCACCACTGGTCGTGAGGATGACTGGTCTTTTAGTCGTGGTCATGAATGTCTTGATAGCAGCCAGAAACCCTGAGTCCTCTTCAAAAATAACGTCCACCTCCTCAAACAGGATGAGAGACGTGGCCGTCTTCCTGCTCTGCTCTTCACTCTTCTCTTTAGGGCTGAAAGTCAGTTTCTGCGTGGGACTCTTTAGTCTTTCAACATCATTTTTTGTTTTCTTGGAACCAGCTATGCAAGAATAAAAAAAAAAAAAAGGAAAAAGGACAATATCAATAAAAGGTAACATTATTACAAAAAGTAAATATCACTCTGGTTTTAAATGGACTGACCCGTTTGTTCATTCTTCTTGGCATTTTGTGGCTCCTTGTTAGTGGGTCGACCCATTTTGAAGAAACTGGCCAATGAGGTTGGAGCTAGGGAGCCCCTTTTAGCTCCCCTGGGAGACTGTGGAAGTTTTCTGGGTGAGGAGACCACCCTACGAGGGGAGTTGACCTTTCCTAAAGAGGTTAAAAAAAATGGTCAGTTTTCAACTGTTTGGTCTGAAACACTGCAGATTTTCCCCTAACAAGTTAAGCGCACATACTGGGGGAGGAGCCAAGCCTGATGCTACTGCTGCTGCTTGCACCATAGCTGTTAAAGTAGGTGGGTTTGTGGGCGTTGACCCCCTGACTGTCCACCTGATGTGACTGAGTGGCTTCCCTCAGCTGGGACAGAATCAGACGGCCACTCCGCTGAGACGAGGCATTGACCTCAAACACCTTAAGAGAGTGGAGTTGGCAGTTATTCACCTAAAGGTGTTATTATGGTGTTACTCTGTGCCGTACTGAACGTGAGGTGTTCGCACCTTGAAGCCCAGCTCCTGCGCACAGGCATAAACGGCAGCAGTCTTCCCCACTCCAGTGGGTCCTGTGATCAGCATGGTATTACACAACATGTCCTCTGCATCCATGGAGCCTTCCCCGAGCTCCCAGTCAGAGTCTGCAAACAACAGAAGCAGAGCCGAGAGAGAAGATACTGTGAAAAAGGTAAATAAACACAAAACAAACAGGAACATAGAGATAAAAAAAAAAATCTGCAATTTTATTTTCATTTTTCCCACCATTGCTTTCTTCCTCTTGTTTAGTGTCTTTCTGTTTTTTTCTCTCTTCCCGGTCTGCACGCAGCTTCCACTCTTTCAGCCAGCTATGCAAATAAAAATGGGAAACTGAAGCATTAACTTCTGTAATTTTCAAGGGTCATTGATTCCTATATTAAAACTTAACACGTGACGACTATTTATATATATATATATATATATACACATACACACACAAATTTCAAAGAAGCAGTTTACACGGGGATCTTACCTGTGCAGCCTCTTCACTGAGGGGGTGTTGCCCGTGATGTCACTGGAATGCTGCGGCTGATATTTCTCAGTCCACAAAACATCTTCTTTCACCACATCTGTGAAGTCATTTTAAAAGTTATTCATCATTAATCAGACAAAATTATTTGATGAAATATACAACACGTTAATATTCTTTATATGCCCAGCCACACACACACCTTTCTCCACAGCGTCCTGTACCGACGGCAGGTCATCCAGCACAATGACACAGTCGTCTTTACTAGAGTTGGTCAAACTTTTGTCCTTTTCCTCCTCTGGTTTGGAACTCTTCGTTCGTCTTAAGCGGCCTCTGTTTGTTCCCTCTGGCTCCGGTTTGGACACCGTCTCCCCTGAGCGGCTCCCCCTCTGCTTCTTAGGCAGCTTTACTGTGGTCTCTTCTTCATCGTCCATCCTTTTTCTCTTTCCAGTTATGGTGTGTAGTGATGTGGTTTCTACTAGGAAATGCAGAGTGAAATTTAGGGATGTCAATTTTCATTTTAAAAATGCCTTTTTAGTTATATTAAATAATAAACAGCTAAATTAACAGTAACTGTAGTCAGTTATGAAACACACTAACTGTTGCAGCTAACCTGACGGACCTGAGGGAGTGCAGTGCTGCTGCTGGTCAGCGCGTCTCTTCAGGAAACGACTGATGAACATCTGAGTAGGGAAGGAGGGGTTGGAGGCTCTGATTTCTTCAAGGAGCAGCTGGCGAATGCTCTCAGAAATCTGCGGTCTCCAGCCTGACAGCTGAAATGAAAACATAAAATTAAATGACTGCAGTATCTGTCTAAATATTTTAGCACATTACTTCTTAACATGTATAAATATTAAATATCATATCTGAAGTTTAGAAATATCTGATGAACAGGCGACTTCCTCTCTTCCAGGTCAGTGTTCATCTGTACTCTTGGTACTGAGATTAAGAACATCAGAAACACTGATGACACTTTTTTTTTTTTTTTTTTACCTTTTTACAAACAGTTCTTTGGGCTGGTTCAGTCTTCATACACAGAGTGCCACCAACATGTGTATGGGAAACGCATGACTGGCCCCACACCTCTTTCAGTGGACTCAATAATAAGGAACTGGGCCAAGGTAAGGTCGAAAGCGGGCAATCTGTGAATACACCAAAAAACAAACTCTTGATATCCTGTCTCGGCCTGTAAACGATGTGTCATCCAAATTAAAATCATCTGCTCACCATTTGGTTGTTGCCTTATGTGTGTAACTGGTGTGAAGGAGGAGCAGGACAGAGAGTAAGACTCTTTAGTGGCAGCAGCCTTGGCTATCTGTTTCCTGAAGGATTCTGGGAGACCACTCTTGAGGAACTCTCTGCGGGCCCTGAACTGTTCATCATCTTGGGAGTTTTCGGAACCCTCACGGCTGCTGTCGTCAAAGATGGAGATCACCGCAGACATTTTTCGAGCTGTTTTTTCTTTAGACCCTGTAAAAATGGCAATGTAAAACTGTTAGTTTATTTTTTTAAAAGAACAATAAAAGGTGATGATCTTGAATGGGAGAAGACCACCTGGGTCAGACTTGAGAGCTGATGTGGTTTTACCCAGAACATCATTCAAACTCCTCAAAGATTTTTGGGTTTTGCTCTTTTCTGGTGCTGCTGAAGGAGACGATGCTGGAGGGCTGTCCTCCAGGCAGATGACGGAATCCTAACAAATGGAACAACAACACAATGGGTTTTCTGAACAGCAAACTGTTTTAAAATCTCAATTTCTACTTAATAAGGACTAACCAGTCAAAACAAAGTCTTACAGAAAACTCAAGTCACTTTTTAAACATGTAACTGGCTGGTGAGGTTCATTTAAAATATTCTTATACTAGTCTTTGGCAAAACCTGTGTGGGCTGTACCTCATTCTCACAGTAGCTCTTCCTGCTGGTGGCTTCACGTCTTGATGAACGCCTGGGGGCGCTCTTTTCCTCAGCAGTGGCAGCTCTCTTACTCTGCTGCATCACTTTGGCTTTTTCCACTAGCTGTTTTGCCTTCTTTATTTTTTTATTCTCCTTGTCTGGTGCCTGAAAAAGACAAGTGTTATTTTGGACAAGGTCTAAAATCTTCATCAACACCGTTCACTTAAAATAAAGTGAACTCACCGTCGATGACTGACCGCCTCTTCCTCTGTCGGCATCCGCCTTAGAAACATTTCTTTGGACTCTAATAAATTTCATCCTTGTGAAAATGCAAAATATTTAATTAGAAAAAGAAAAAACAACCATGATGTCATATGATGTCAAAGTGCTGACATATCAACTATCTTTACTGATAAGTGTGACTGCATATAAAACTATTCCAGTTAATATGAATATGCTTAGTACACCAAAATAAATATCTAACGCTTAAAAGTAGTCACCTGATGGGACTTTCCTTTGCATCAGGTGGGCCGACGATCTCTGCAACAAAGACTCCATGTTTGCGCCTTGGCTTTTTTGGTGTGGACCTTTTTTTAGGGGTTTTTTGCTCATCCTTCGATTCCCTCTGTGCTCTGTTTTTCCTGACAGCACCCACTGCTGTCACATCAGGAGCTTGCCTGACGTGAGCCTCTCTTTTAGACCTCCTCAGAGATGGCGTAGTGGGCTCCTCTTTTTTGACATCACTGTCAATATTAGTGGCCGCAGTGTCTTCTGCAGACGGAGGAGCTTCTGCAGCAGGACCAGGACCTGAGACGGTGGTGGCGGTCTGGACCTCGTTTTTAGCTTTTCTTCGGCCTTTTGTTGATAGTTTCTTTCTATCTACTTGTTGTTTGTTTTCCTGAGGCTCAGCAGGACCTGTCTCGTTTGTAGGCGGGGTTGTGCGCTCTTTTCCGCAGCACTTTCTGCTTGGTCCACATGGTTATTCTCTCTGGGTAGTTTTTGCTTGGATTGATTCTTCCCAGATTTGGTTTTGGAGCCCTCAATGCTGGACCGCTTGAATGCAGCCATGAACTGCTTCCTGTCCGCCTCGCTACTCTTCGGAGTGTTTTCACTCTCCAAAACAGCAAGTTCTAGATCCTCCTCCTGAAGAACAACATTGGATTTCCTTTTTACAGTTACATTGTTGGGTGGTGATTGGTGTCTAGGCTCCATCTGAGTTGAAGATACCTCTTCTGTATGACCTGCTGCTTTCTTTCTATTGCTGAAGATAGAGGCCATCCTTCCCACAGTCCTGTTTGCTTCCTGTTTTGGTGAGACTGTATGAACCTCAGCCTGGATGGTGAGCGTTCGAGGTGACACTTGGAAAACTGGCTCTCCAGAATCCACATTTTTCAACTGGTCACCGACCTGTGACGCTGCATCTGCTGTCGTTTGCTCTTGATCTTTCCTTTGCTCTTCATGCTGATCCAGACTCTGGCTTTGCAAGAAATCTTCAAAGGAAATTGTGACTGTGCTTTTATTCAATTCTGAAGTCTGGTCCATTTCACCCTCCGTGTTATCATCACACCCGGGTGATTCTGCCCCCTTCATCTCAGGTTCAGGTGGTTTAACCTCCACTTGGTGCCTTTTCTTTAAATTCCGTGAAGCAGTTTTGACTCGTTTGGTTTTATCTCTGACAACTACCTCTGAAGATGACTTAACGCTCTTCACCTCTTCTCTGGGTTTTTCACTGTGACTGGATTTTGAAACATTGTCCTGCTTATTGTTTTCTAGTTGATCAATGACTGTCACAGTTTTGGATTCCTCTCCACAGAGTTGGGGAAAGACAGCTGCCGTTTCACGACCCTGACCTCCACAGCTGTCGGTCACCTCTGTCACAGAGTCTCGGTGAGGTCCATCCAGAATCAGAAAGCTCTCTTCTTCTGTTTGGGAGGCAGCAGCTTCAGGCTCTACAAGTTTCCTCGCAGCTTTGATGGTCTTTCTGCTCCGTTTTGGTCTCCCTGCTGCCTCTGTGCTGCTGAGTTTCTCTGCAGATGTGGTAGTCAGGCAGTTTTCTTTAGACTGTTCTGATGGGCTGGACTTTTCATTTGAAGACGAGTGCTTACGGGTAAAGTAGTCCATGATGTTGTTGGACCGAGGAGGAGAAAAGGGTTTTTCTGCTGGCTTGGCCACAGGAGAGAAATAATTTGTGATTGTCTTAACAACTGGAGTGCCACCATCTTTACGGGTTTTCTTACAGGGCTGTAAAATTAAAGACAACTCTGATTAAGATGAGGATATAATAAAAAACAATTGAAATAATTATATAAAACAAATATTGTACATCGTAGAACAAACGTAAGTAAAAAATACCTGGGTGTCAAAATCCTCAATGAGAGATGCCATAGCCACAACACTTGCCATAGTTTATTGGGACCTAAAGCAACATAAAATATCAACATTACTGGCGCAGTTAAAGTAAAAATAAAAAACAATTTACAATAAATATTGTCTAACAAATATTAATTACATGTTGTAATTGCTATAGTCAATCACTTTTGTTAATATTTGTGTTTATTATTATCTATCAACATTTTGATGTGTAGTCAGAAGAAGTTGCAGCATTAACTGCCAATCCCAGAAGAGAAAGATATCTAGATAATTATTAATAAGTCACTCACTGGTTTTATAATAGAAAAAAATGTATTACATTTTCCAACCCAATGCAACGTCACACCAAGAGTTTACAGGGAGAAGTTTTATCTTTTAAAACATTAGCCTTGATTTACACACACGTCGCTTTAAACAGCTTTGTGTGTGACAACTGTGAAACTGTAAACAGTGAATGAACTGAAGAGCAGAACAAATAGTCAGCGTTAATTCAGTATTAAACTCGGTTGTATTATATGTAGACAGTATAGCCATAAAGACAATTGACAAAGACCACAGGGAAGTCTACGTGTATCATGGTGACCAGAGCAGCTGTTAAGATGAAACCCTATTATTTCGGGCAAAGACGACAAGCAACTCCTACTTTAATACAAGATATGCGTACAAGTACATGAAAGAGAAGGAAACATTTACTTACAAGACAAGACGGTATTTCGCGTCAGTTCCAAATGGTTTTGTGGGTTTAAAAAGAACGGTTCATGGTGAAAACAGAAGTGGACAGCGTCTTGTTGTCCTGAGATACTATGAACCCAGCTAACACAATCTGCCGGGAGCTACTCCGATGTTGCACAGCCTCTCGTGTTCACCAAACTAAGTCCGAACACTCCGCACATGACAGCCAGATACGCGCTCCCGTGACTTAAAATTGTTTATTTGGCCACCCATAGAACGGCTCCGAGTACAAATACCAAATTACATACTGGTTAGTGTATGTTTGCGCTTTCAAAAACGCGCCCGAGAACGAAGAGCGCCAAATATGCACAACCTTCCGCGTCAGAGAATTCAACCAATTATGGCATAGAACAGAAAGTGACGTTTTTGCCCTCAACAAAGATGGCGTCTGTAGTCGTAATTTCAGGAAAGAGAATAAATGACAGCGACCTCTATCGTAGCTCTTGTTGCATTTCAAAGTAGAGTACAGCCTAATGCGTTATTTTTTATCCTTTGGCTAGCAGAAACGTATATTAAATAAATCCAACGTTTACGAATGTTAACGCTGATGAACGTTTTAATTGATAAAACGTTCATTCAAAATGTAATCAATAATAGAAATGATCAGACGAACCGTTGTGTTTTTATCAATAATCGAGGGCTATGAAAGTAGTACCAGCATATAAATATTCTCTGGTTCTTTTTAAGTGCTTTTTAAAAATTCATACATACATCCATACATTGTGTTTTATGATTTTAATGTAGGAGATGCAAAAGAAAAAAATGAGATTAAAAATGAGCGATGAAACTTGTGCTGCTGCTCCTCAAACAGCAGAGGGAGCAGGGTCTAAGAGTTCAGGAAAGCCAAACTGCAATGCGGCTTTTGCCAAGTACCACAGATTGCAGACAGGAGGCAGTGCCAGTAATTCCTCAACAGAGACACGTTTCTCGGGGTATGTTTGCTACTTCTAATATTTTAAACATATTTAAATAACTCTTTTTTTGACTGCGAGAAGTCGATCTTTCAAAAGAATGGATGAAGAAGGGGGCTCAGCCCTGTGGTATTCCTGTAAAATATTGCAAAGATGCAGAACAATATCATTTTAGAGACAAATGCATCAAAAAAAAGTATTTTCCCAGGAAATATGATGATATTAAACATGACCAGAGCTTGTGCGGCACCTTTACAACAGTGAGGCATGATTCACTGGCCTGATTGCAGTCCAGAACCTTCTACTGTTGTTTGGAGTTTAAGGTATCTGTTGAGATGAAAATCTGAATAAGGAACTGTGGACTGTTAGGCAGCTTAAGTTTTATTATACAGGAATAATTGAAGGGAGGGGGTCATTGGCAACATTATATTTTTTTCTTAATACTCAAATGAGGATTTTAGAGAGTAGCTTGTACTAGGAGACTATAATAATGTGTTGTGTTCCATTGTATTATTTGATATGAAGTGTCTTTGGCTGCCATACATTTTCTATGTATACAGTATATGCTTTGGGAAAATAATTCAGCAACAACAGGCAGAAATGTGCAATTTTAAAAATGTTTAATTTATATCTTTAAAATTAAAAACATCTGGATTGCATTCTACCACCTCCAAAGGCACAGTCATACTTAGAGCAGACCAAATTCATAAAACACTGCCACCGAACATTTTTGTACATAAGAAACAATTAACTATTTATAAAAGAAATGACTAAACATTTGTTTTTGTTTTTTTCCACTGGTAAACAATTGCCATTCTTTACACCTTAGAACGCTAAAAGACCAGAGTGATATGTACTTACAGTAGCTGTGGTACCATTAGACTTAATATAAAGGACGAAGTGCTGGTTTGAAGCTAATGAAGCCAGTGAAAGACGTGCACTGCAGCTATGTAAAAACTGTGGGTTTAGAATCTGATAAAAACACAGAGGGTTTGTAGTCATCAATCTTGATAAACAGTGGTTTAAAAACATGACATACAAAAGAAATCAACAATTGGCAGGGCGGAGGACAGTAGGGAAATGACTTTCAATGGAGGACAGAATGGTCAGCAGTTTGATCTTCATACTTTTTTGATAACACTTAAAGGTGCACGATGCACGGAAATTCAAAATAACCTATGAAAACATTGGAATGGGACACAGAAAGATGCAGTGTCTTTGCCACAAGGAATAACAGGGACTGAAGGTGAAGTCAATAATGCACAAAAAGGCTGGTAAGAATGTGTGATAACACGGCACAGGAGGTTTTCTTAGCGACAACTAAAGTCTAAACAGTGGGTAAATATACAGTGGAGAATATCACTGTTTTTACTCAGGCAGACCTCAGAACATATAATCTGTAAATGACAGGATGAGGAATTAAAAGGAAATTTGGCACACAGACGGAGAAGGCAGGAAAATAACAGTGAAAGGAAATCAAGGCAACTTAGGAACTTTCTGGGTGGACAGGGATGAAGTACTTTTAAATATACTGTATGACACAAGGGAGGGGGCTGGGGGTACCACTCTTAGGTGTTCAATAAAAGAAACATGATTTTGTTGCAGCAACTAATAAGAATCACAGAAACCCCAAAAATCACAGCTGTACTTTCACCTTAACAAAGACAGGCTGTGGCAGGCACTCGGAGAACCTCTTTCTTTACAGGCAAATTAAGTCAAACTGAAAACAGAAACATCTTCAAAATCAATGTTTAAACGCTTAAGAAAATATCTACAGAGGTAAACAAAATCAACACAAGCTACTATCACCCAGCCAGACACACAAACAAACACACACCGAGCAATGATCAAGTCAGTTTAACAGCAGAACGTTGGATTTTAAACAAAAAGATACATACACAAACACACACACACACACACACATCCTGCTGTTTTTCACAAACATGTTCACCAACTAAATCAATCAGAGTTGATTTAGTAAATCAACCAAGTGGTATATTTTGTCAAAACACAAACACACATCACAGTATTCTCATAATGACTTGTTCGGCAGTGACAATTTGGGGTGCGAGGGCCGAAGATATTCAGCCAGGAGACAGCAAGGCTACTGGATGCATTGCAAATGTTATCAGAAAAAAAATAATTCCAAAACACACACATAATCCTGGCATGATTTCTTTGTTTAAAAAAAAAAAAAAAAAAAAAAGCATTTAACTGAGATTAAAACGTAGGTTTCCTCCTTAGACTGACGGTCTGCTTTTAGAACCACATCCTTTTGCAACGCCAGTGATTTTGTGTTGAAAAGAATCTGTGCCAACAGGTAGTTGCATCATCCAGACAGCAGCAGTTTGTTTTGATTGTGTTTGGGTGTGTATGTATGTGTGTGTGTAAATGAGAGGGACATTTACATATGCAGCAAAGGTTTGCACACACAAATACACACATTTTCAGGGTCTATTTACATGTGTCGAGGGTATAAATTATGTGTTTGTGTGTGTTTATTTGACCAATACAACTGAGTGACATCTAACGACGTTTCTCAGCAGTTAGTTGTCAGCTGACCCTGTAGTGAACAGCACTCTCTGGTCAGTTCTGGCCAGCTTTGCAGGCGGCTCCAGAGACTCCTCTCCGAGGACGGCACCATCTGAGGGAAGTGACAGCTCCTGACCTTCATCGTCACTCTCCTCATCCTCTTCTTCATCCTCTTCTGTCGAGATGGAATACAGGCCATGGTTATAAAAACTGTGTGACAAACAATCTCCGCAAAGAACCATTAGATGGAGAAGGATGATACCTTTGTCAGGATCCAGCTGAGTCAGACCCCGGCCCAGACTTGCAAACTAATGGTAAAAATTAAATACGTTAAAATTATGTAGGAATTGTGTGTGTGTGTTTGCAATTGTGTTAAACTTTACCTCTCCCATTACTGCAATGGGGGTCTCTCCTTTGGCCTGAGCCACCCTGTGCTCAATCAGATAATACATGTACTCATCGTACAGCAAGCGGATCAAATGAAAGGAACCGAAACTAGCTGCACTTCGCAGGGTCAAGTCCCTTATTACCATGGAACTGCAAAAGGCAGACGTGTGAACAGAAAAAATAATGTTACACATATTTCCTGTAAGTATGCCAGAAAAACAGGAAGTGACTCATTGTTTCGCTATCATAATGATGAATGTGAGACTGCAGATTTTCGCTACTCTTCAATGTATTTCAGATTTAACATTTCTAGAGATTTGTTAACTATAATAATTACTAAAACCTTTAAATCGAAAGTTGTTATATTTATTTATATGGCAAAATGGCTTTTCAATGTTTTCAAGGATTTCACTTCCAAGTTCCCGCAAGAACCAACAAAAATGATGGTTGAAGTTTTTAAAACGGAAACTAATAGAAAAGACTGGGGTTTTCATTATATGTGGCTTAGTGGCAACAAATGACATTCAGTTCTTGAATTTCACCTGTAGAAGGACCACTTGAGCAGGAAGAGCTTTGCAGCCTTCGGGAAGGCAGGGCTTTGTTGATAGGGCTTTAGAACTTGGGACACCACACCGTCCAGCCATGCAGCCCACTGCTCCAGGGAGTTCTGCTGCTGAAGGGTTAACTTGAAGTCCTGTTCCAGCCTCTGGACTACCCGGTCTTCACAGCGACACACCCATGATGCCTGTTCCTGTAGATGGAGGATATGGAAAAGGACATGATGACGACTAGTCTCCAGAGCAGGACCACAAACAACTAAGAAGTGACACAGGAAGTGATGCTCATTTTAACCGATTTGTTTGAGTTGTTTTGCATTTCTCTGTTGAGGAATGTGACAGGAAACAGAAAGAGAATGAAGTGAAACCACACGTTAACCACAGCATTAATAAGAGACATTTCTCAGAGAACAATAACAACAACAACAACAACAACAGACGTTTAGAGACGAAACCAACCTGAACATTGGCAAAGTCAACGCGGTTGAGGTCGGAGAGCATCTGATTAATCTGGGCTGTGTTCTGCAGGACAGCACGGGCGGCCTGGGCGAGGTGGTTTAGACTTGTGTAGCGACGCAACGTCTGTGCAAAGGCATTGGCTGAAGTAACCTGACAGAGAACAGTGTCAAAGTTATGCTAGATTTTCACCGGTACTGCAAACATTTTCAGAATAGAAAACAAGTAACATATTTCAGACGGAACCCATTTCTGTTTGTATTTCTTTAAGTAGCAGATCATGCTTTTGTTAAACCAGATCTGACTTTGTCCTGCCAAAAATATACTTGCAGGTTTCCAATGCAACTGATGCATCTTATATACCTACACCTACTGTATGATACCATCATATGCATTGACATGAGTCTGTATCATATGATTCCATAGTGTAGCGGTTAGCATGCCTATCCCTGATGGCACCTCCAACCGTTGTAAGTCGTTTTGATTAAAATGTCAGTTAAATGCAAAAATGTAAATTATGTATTTCTTGGTAACACACTGACTGTTATCAAAAACAACTGGCTCAAAGATTGCTACATTAAAAATGATGGAAATCCAACAGCTATATCTAAACACAGACAATACCTTAATGCGGACCATTTCTTCTGGAATGTTCATCATGGCATTAGTCAGCCAACTCTCTAGGCTCTTGGCAAAGTTGCGGATGGCTTGAGTTAAGGCACCTGGTCAGTAGGAGGCAATGTAGAGCAAAATTGTTAAAGTGTATTAAACCGTTTTATTCTCTAAATTTCTCTAGGATGATGCTGCACATTCAGTCTTATTGCAGGCTCTTACTGGGGATAGGCCTAAGGACATCAGGGATGAGGATCTCCACCAGACCCTGGTACAAGCTGTTGTCGCAGTCACGACTCCAGCGCAGCACAGGCTCGTACTTGCACAACAACACCAGGCAGGCCTTAGGAAGACGCTTCTCTGACTCGTCATGACTGTCGGGACACACTCTGTTAATAATAAATATAGTGCTGCTGCTGCACTGGGATTCTAAGAGTTGATTATAAAGACTCAACTACTCACACAGACAATGCAGCGTCTCCAGCCTGGCTTTGGCTGAACCTCCAGAAAGTCTTCCACAGCGTCTCCACCAGGGTAAACTGCAGGTTGACCATGACGTCCAGTATGGCCTGTAAGAGCAGGCTAAATTCATTAACATACGCCAATAATCCAATGTTAAATGGAGTCACGTGATACAGGGAACTGTTCAAACACATGAATATTTTCTTACCAATAATCCTGTTCAAATAAAACTGTTCAAACACATGAATATTTTCTTGACTTTCTAAAAGCTTATGTTGTAATTACTTTGAGACTAAGCCACCACAGAACAAAGGGCCAAGCAACAGAAATGTCAATCCTAAACAATGTGTTGGGTGGCAGTCAACAAAACAGAATCCCCTTTGTTTGTTACCTCACAGTGTTCTCTGTACAGCAGCTGAAAGCTCTTTATGTGCTCCAGTTCAATGCCCTCTGGCAGCGCCTTCCCTTGGAGGTCGATTTCTGTGAACTCTGGGAGAGCTCTAGAGGCATCTGGAAGGCATCAAACTAGATGTTCAGACTCTAATTATATTAGGCAGGGACTAACAGCATTACTTTAAGATGACACTGTACACGGCATCAGCAAACCACTGGCCTATATATATTTGTTAGGCACAAACCTAGGAACTGCTGGTACTGTTGGACCTGGGTGCTGATGTCCACATGCCCTGAACCCTGCGGCTGTTGCTGCTGCTGGCCGGCTCCTGAAGCTGTGCCATTGGTCATTCCTTCCACTTTATGGACCGGCTTCAACCTGGTTGGAACAATGAATTATGTCCAATAATGAGGCTTGTACTGATATAAATAAAAGGAGAGGGGGGGGGGGGGGGGGATTAAGATTAATGTAAAACAATCGCTAATGTAAAACAATCGCAGAGACAGAGCTATAAACAGAAGATTAAATAAGAAGATAGAGAGCAGGAATCCACTGTAAGTAATGGAAGTCTTTGAGAGTCTGCACCTCTGTTTCTGTGAGAAGGGCTGCTGCCTCATGGCCAGATGCTGTTGATCTTCCATCAGACGCACAAGAGATGAGCCGGCCTTGATCCTCAGTCCATAGTAGTGGTATTTTGAATTACCTCTATCAAAAGATGGACAATAAGATGTTTTTAAACGGCAACAAACCATTGATCTAAAACATGAGTGTGAAGAAAGAAATGTTTTATCTAAATCATGTGATCAGTAAGTCAAATCATCATACATCATTCAAATTCTTCAATGTATCCCAATAATTCTCATAAATCACAACACTGTTGGATTTTTATAATCACTTTTCGAAAATGTCTAGAAAAAGTCCATATTTTTTTCCCTTATTCTCTTTTTTTTCACAAACTCCCCCACACACATGCTGTCTGTCTTCATCTCTGCCCACATTTCCTCCTACACTATTTTTGCCACAATTTGCAATGCTTCCAGATAAATCTCTCTGGTCCTGCTGGATAAAAAAACATTGCAGATGTGCATTCAGAGCACTCTATGCTGCTGATGTGTTTAAGTCAAAGGAAGTCAGAAATGTCAAAATAGGTCAACGTTGATTCAGAACTTCTTTGTGTGTGGTAATATTGGCAAGTTCATATGCCTCAACAGTTCAAGGTCAGACATTTACAAGGACTTGTAAGTTTCTAGGAACCATGTATGTGAACCTTTAAAAGAAACTACCAAGAATAGTAAAATTATTTGAAAACATTTAAGAGGTAGAAATTGGTTTTGTGAGTTTGTGTATACCTGCGTTTTTCTGTACGAGGAGCAACTCATCTTACCGTGTGCCAAGGCGACGTGTACGTAGCCCCATGAACACAGATCTGATGAGTTTCCCAAAAGACGCAGCGTTAACAGGCTCTAGTTTCTGCTCCTGGCAGTGCAGCAGATAATGGCAGTAGAGGGTGGAACGTGGCAGACTCACACCTTCAGCTGTTTCATAGTTGTCCAGCAACCACTGTACCTGACACGCAGGCAATGGAAATAAGACATAGCTGGTGCAGTTAGCAAAGGCTGATACATTGAAACAGCATACTCAGTTAATATTACATCTGTGTATGTGCACACAACAGTAGGCATGCTTCTTGCAAACACAGCTCATGCCTGTAAAGTGCTCTTAATATTTTGATGTATTTTTTCAGTTTGTCAAGAATTCAGGAATGAAAACACAAATACATTTGTTTGCGTGCCGTGGCATACAACATTGGTATGCAATGAATAAATGATTAGAAAAACTGATGGGATGCTCGCCAAAGATTTTTAAACATTATTCTATGGGCGTCTGTTTGATGAATTTAGGATGAAAAAAAATAGTGTAAGGGGCATTTCAGGCAAATTTTAAAAAAATGCCACTGGTCTCATGCATACTAATGATATGACAACAATGATGTCATGGTGTTTGTTTTCTATAAGCTGGAAATCACAGTTAAAAACGCTGTACACTGCAGCTAGTTCTAGGTCAGCACCGCTGACACATTCTGATCTTGGAGCCAAATAAGATATTTTTAAATGTGTTTTCCACTTGACAAAATTCAACTATGATGTCATGTCAGTGTGGGTCACCAAGGGGTTGCGTGAATGAGAACAAAATGAGAAGAAATTCCTGCACGTGGCGCCTCTGCATACCTTCTTGTCTGCCGACGGCACGCTACTCTCCTCGCCCTCTGTAATACTCACAGTGGCCGGGGAGGCGCGGGCAGTGTGTGAATAGTTCTGACTGTTGCCAGCTGCCCCTCCGCTACTGGTGGTGGTGCTGCTGCTGCTGTTGCTGCTGCCGCCACCGCCCAACATGTAACCCCCCTGGATCACATAGCTGCCTGCTGTGCCCCCACTGTTGCCTGCCCCATCCCCAGCCCCATTGGTGGTGCCCCCTGTGGTCACCACTGTGGCCCCTCCAGCCGCAGCACTCGCAGGCTGGGCAACAAACATGGACACACCCCCGGTGGTGCCGGCAGTCACTGAGACAGTGAGAGGTGTTCCAGGAGTTGAGGCCTGTGTGCCTGTAGTCGGTTGACCTTCATAGTACTGGGCAGCTGTGGTCTGGGTGTAGAGGGTGGAGTCAGTGTAAGGGAAGGTGCTGGAGCGACTGGATATAACAGAGGGAGAAACAAGTACAGAATAAATGACAGATTTCAACTGTACAAACTAGAAAATGGTGATAAAAGTAACATTCTAACATGGTGCTGGTGGTGTAGTTGGTGTCCCCTCCTTCAACATACTGCACTTGATTTGTGTAAACATGTTGGACTGGCACTGCTGTGAGCTGCTGGACGTAAGGAACACACAAACACACACACATATCATTAAAAAGCTTCATGTGACTGGGAACCAAGTTTATTAATATTAACTTACAAATATTAAACAGACAAAAGTGTTTATGAAGTATCTCTCTCTAGCTCTGTAACTATTTTAGTATTTTAGGTATTCCTGTTACTTTTTTACTTTTATGCAACACCCCTTTCATGTCCCTCACCTACTTATAAAGTTGTAATTTTCCCATGCAGTGCTGGCTGATCTCTGGCTTCTGGTCTCTGACCCTGTCCTAACAGCTGAAAGTGCAAGAAATCCATTGCAATTTATACCTTTTTTAAAATTATGTTCCTGTCTTTGTTAGACTGTAGTATCACACATACTCCAGCCATGTTTGTGGATTGTCAATCCTCACTAACCCTGTGACCCTGCAGTGGAGTAGCTGGAAGCTGACACATTTGGTCACAGATGTAAATAGCTGGGGAGTAGAAACCAAAATAGACAGAGGTTCATAGAGGCGTTCTCTGACTTACCTCCTGGCTAATATGAACTGGCTGCAGACTGGTGACACTGAGCTGGGTTCCTGGCTCAGTCTTTGCTATTTGAGAAGTTGCTTGTACCACTGATCTCTGCTTAGATAAAAACAAACAAACAAACAAGAATCACTATAATTTCAAGGGAAACTACAATGATTTGACTTTGTGAGTGTTATAGAGTGGTGTTTTACCTGTTGAGCTGTCTGTACTTGCTGAACAACCTGTGTAGGAACTCCTGTCTGCACCACAGCTGGGGGTGAACTGGAGTCTGACACACTGTCATTTGAGTGAAGGGAGCCCTCTGAAGAATTAAAAGCATGTACACTATCAGGGCAGCATAAATGTATAATGTAAATATGTAAATATCCAGATTTGTACTTTGCACTTAATTGTGTATGTAAGAACATAATGGCACCTGACCATCATTGTTTACCTGTAACTGTAACAACAATGTACTGAGGAGCAGATTGAGCCCCTCCAGACTGGACAGGGGAGCCCTGGATTTCTGCCGTCACGTACTGAGTCTGAGCAGGCTGGGTCTGTGCTGTGGATGGAGCTTGAGTTCCAGGTGCAGGCTTCTGAGCAGAGATAGAAGTGGCTTGTTCAGGGGGAGGAGTTTGGCCTGTGGGTGTGACAACAGTGGGCGTGGTCACTGTTGTCTGAATCTCAGCCAGGAACTGGGAGGCAATTGCAGGAGTGGAAATGGCATCAGTTTGCCCAGGTGTGACAGTGACACTTGTGCTCTGGGGCTGGGCTGGTGACTGGATCTCACCTACATAGCCTGAGGTGGCCATTATGAGAGCTGGGAGTCACCTAAAAAAGAAATGTCCAGTTATTTTATCATAGAGATAGTCAGTAGGTTTGTTAAAATAAAGTGATTCATTTATACATTATTATTTATACTTTTTTTGCACATTTTAATATCCATTACACTCTCTCTTGGCACATACTCAGAACAGGTTTATATATATATTATTTCCTGTGCTTTCCTTTTTAATTATTTTCTAATTTTTAAAGATACACCTGTGTAATGATCATGTGACAAATATTAACATTTGAATCTTAAATCCTATTTTACAGAAGTTGTCAAAAACAATGGGGCAATCGTGTTAAGATTGTCAAAAACAATGGGGCAATCGTGTTCGTGGCAACTTCAAATTTATATGAAAGGAATCAGGCATCGGACAAGTTACACAAAAAGTTCAAATGAGGTAAATATTCTGTCGACTGTTTGAAGTGGTCAATGTGGTCAGTGATCTCTTTGCTGAATCATCACACAGAACACAGCACAGTAAAAGTATCTTGAAAAAATATATCAAGTTCTCCATAATTACAGGACTTGAACCACTTTTCTTGATTTTAACTATATTTACTCTGTAATGTTGATGCCTCTGAGTGTATGCAGTAACAGTGAAACTAACTGCTCCTGTTTTCTAACTTGCCTAAGCAGAAGTAAAAAAAAATGCCATTGTGTTTGGAGTGTGTGGGTGAAATGTTAGAATATCTGAAGATCTAGCAGATGTCAGAATAATTTGAGGAAAAAAGTCAGTTCTAAAAATCTGAGTGAAAAATAAGATGAAAATAAAATCGAAACACTGGATGAATATGCCACCTTATATCAGGTTATTATTATTATTATTATTATTAGAAAGAATTAATAGTAATTAATAGAATTAATAGTAATAATTAATAGTTTTAAAATTGTTGGTCACACTGACTCAAAAACGGTTGCTAAATGCAATTAAGCATATGATAAATGGGATAGATTACTGCCTTTTTTCTATTTAGCAGTAATAAAGTTATACAAAAGGAACTAGACCATGTAAATGACAGTATATTAAAAACTAAGAAAAATAACAAAAAATTCTAAAAAGTCTAAAAATCTAGAGGTTTATTGTGTAAAATGAAAAGGAAATCAAAGTACAAAATACATTTAGTTTGTTTTAAGTTTGCTCATATAAAACCGTACTGCTCCAACACAGTGGCCTGATACACTCCAGACACGTACAAAAGCTCATTGTTAGATAATGTTAACACGAACGTACTAAATACTTTAGTATAATCTACTAAAAACACAGGTCAAATGATATATATGTCATTTAGAACACATTATATAACAACCTCTTCAAGGGCGCGCCTTTAAATACCAAATACATGGTTAAAAATAAAAGCAAAAGTCTTTTACAATTGTTCTTTACACCATGTCACAAATAGCTGCGGGGATTTTTGCTTTGCAACACTACGGGGATTTTTTACAAACCTTTGTTAATCAGAATTACCCGCTCTTATGACAGGAAGTGAACTAAACCCATGGAGCACCTGCAGAACGCCCCTCTCTGCCACGCCTCTGACATATTGAATGTCTGCCACCTGCCCCAGCTTTCTTAAGTTACATTCTTTACACAGACATTTCACTCGCCACAGTTTGCTCCAGTTTTGCCCTTGCCTCTACAAAGACACTAAACACCACCCCTACACCGAGCTTTTGTAAAGCTGTACTTCGTTTGGAGCTGTTGACGTTACGTACCCACAGACACTGCATGTGTTGATTCGCCCGCTGAAGGAAATAATAAAATATAAGAAGGTTAAAGTGTCTTTATGATACTGTAAAATATAGCAATGGGACCGTCGTAATATGAAGTTTATGCAGCCGCGAACACACGCTTGTCGTGAGATTACTAGGGCGAGCTTTCTAGCAAGGTAACGGGAGCAGCACCTCACTGGTCTCTACAACAACCGCCATTTTGTACCTTTTGCATTTGACATCGCCATAACAACGGCCTGCTTGAGTATTCATCTGTGGCTGCGTCGTCATGGCAGGGACAATCCACTGCCACGCGAACGAGAAGCGGACGAACACACACGCAGCCACGTTCACTCGAGAAACACACTGCACAGATTCTCAACACGTCGTTTAGCTCTGAAGCTAAGCTCAGCTAGCACCCGGAGACAGTTTCCTGTTATGGCTACTGGAACAACAAGGCAGAAACAAGGATAGCACACTGCAGCCTAAGCATTGATGGACAAACAATATCTCTATTATGTTCAGACCTTCACCTCTGGTTCCACGCGTGTATTTCCCACAGGCAATTTGTAACTCTTCTTTTTTATTTTTAAGGCGATTCACTTGTTGTTGTTGATTCCCGTTGCTGGGTTCTTGTCGCCAGGGCTACCGTGGCTATGGCGCTTCGTCCTCACCAGGGCAACTGTTGCTACCCACCCGCTCCCTCCCCTCCCCCGTCCTTGCTCTGATTGGTCGAGCGACGCCAAATTGTCTTAAAGTCATAGAGGCAACGGTTTTCTCTTTTTTGTACGAATTGCTCCACGCCCATTTTATGGAAAATTCCTATCAACCATGGATATTAAATTGTTTTGTTTTACTAAGGCATCTATTCAGAAAGTGTTGCTATTATTTTATTATTCTAAGGCATGTAGCCAAAACGTCAGGCAGGGAAGCTGCTGTGGCATTTTCATATTTTAATGGTTAAACTGGTTGTTATTTAACCTTAAGCAGCCATAAGACCTTCCAATAAAAGTTGTTATACTGTGATTCATTTGCCTTGTGACTGGGAAGTCAGCAAGTCAGTAGTCACTTCTGTTTAAAGACTATGCTTAAAGTGCTGAAGTTGAGTAATGTGGTACAAAAGCATGGAAAAACCGGATGCAGCTGATAAACATTACAGTAATAAACTCTAAACATCAGGACTACAACTACACACCCAAAAGCGTCTATATAGTTTACCTAGTAAACAGACACAAACACAAATAAACATATATTATGTGAGTTGTCATTTGTGTTTTGAACTGTTTTGAGGGTCCTCAGAACTACGACAAATTGAAACTTCCCATGTAATTTTTGTCAAATACAGAGGAGGTCCATGCTCATTGTAACTAACATGATATTTTCTGGTGTCCTCTTAAAAGAGCGACTGAAAAATGAATAATATGAAAGTGGTGACACACAGTCTAATCATCCCACAGAGTTTTTTTTACATATTCTAGTTTGCCATCACACAGTCCTTGAGACTTATTTCATTCTGGTCATTTAAACATAGTACGCAGTGACCTTGTTTACAACTCTTGCTTTCACCTGTGAAAGGTTGCTGTAAAACACTGGAACCCTGAAAAATGTATTACATTTCTGCTCACATTAGTCACTTTATATGTTATAACATTTGTTTTATTAGCTGCTAGTAAAACAAACTCTCTATAGTTTAAATATTTTAATGTTTCCACACACACAAACAGTAAGAAATTAAATGAGATTACATTTTTTTGTAAGATGAATAAGTTTTAAATCCAAAAAGGAAAAATATAACTTTTTTGTTATTTTGGTTTTACTCTCTCAGCCTTCATTGGCTACTATGGCTGTGACATATGGTAATGAGTGTCAAGGTGAAACACACCCCTTAAATGCCACTTTGTTTGCATATTATCGTCACACTAATTTCAAATTCACCATCACCATTGTAATTTCCTAAATGAGCGACCTTTGGCTGTGTGGGTACACAGATAAAAATGTGTTTTATTTTAGTGTGACTCATCGTAGGACTTCAATGTTATCTGACTTTGAAAATGTCACTGGTCCTGTCTCAGTTCACCTTTTGGAGAAGAGATGACACCATAAGCAAATTTCAAGAGAAAGAATAAAACTGACAAGTTATCCACGGTCAAATGTGCAATTAAAATGGCAAAAGCTCATATATATATATATTTACCATAGACTGATGTGTATATGAATAATTAAGATTATGTTGACACAAATGTTACCTCACACAATATCATTCACAATATAACCATATTTACAACCTTTAAATACAAGATCAGGTTCTGTTGTGAATCTAACATAACAGATTTGACGTAACAAATTCAGGTAGCATCCAATCAGGTGATTTCATCGAACAACAGAAGTCGAACCGAATGTGCTTCCAAGCTGAAACCCTAATATACCACAGTCGGTCGCTGATATAATTTTAATTATTTCACCTTTGCTTTTCCTTTTGTCTCCATAAAGGTCGGCATCTGTATCTCTTTTCCAATCAATTGTTTTCTCAGACATGGCCTGCATACGCAGTATATATGTCCCACGGAGGGCTTCAAACCCCTTTATAAACCCTGCCTTGGTCACCTAGAAAGGGACAGCTCTTGCAAAGAAACAGAGAAGCTTTGGGTTGCTCATAGTGAACAGTCAAAACGAAGAACAGAACCGACTCATTTGACACCATCACCTTGTAACTATGTGGAAAGCTGTGGTGTTAGCTGTGTGTCTGCTGGCGGCGGGGGTTGAGCCTATGGAGGATCCAGCATATGGAGTCAAGCTCTGTGGCCGAGAGTTCATCCGGGCAGTAATCTTTACATGCGGGGGTTCACGATGGAAACGATCCCTCAGTAGCACAGGTGAGACTAAATGTGACACTTCACTGTAGATGGCGTTCTTTCAAGCTGTTGCTAATACATTGCCGAATACTGCAATATTAGGATGAACTGCTCACTGTCTACAGCTGTAGGAATTAACTGTCCTTGATGAAATGTTGGTTATCAGAGATGTGTGTAAATGACAACGGTGGCATTGACAGCACTGTAACTGTGTGAACATGGTTGACGCAGATGTCTCAGAGGATCCATTCACCCCCCATCAGGATGAGTCCTCAGAAGGCTTCAGCCCTAACTCACTGGAGAATCTCCTTCAAAGGAAAAGAGACCTGAGAATGACGTTTGGAGAGAACCAGGACGCAGTGTTCAGCCGACCAGCACGTTCCTTCATCACAGAAGAAATCCTGGAAGCTCTGCGAAAGGCTGATCGCAAGGGTCGTGATGTGGTGGTGGGTCTGTCCAATGCCTGCTGCAAGTGGGGCTGCAGCAAGAGTGAGATCAGCTCCCTTTGTTGAGAGTTTACCATTTCAATCTAAATAAAAACATCACAGAGCATAACTATGATTACATAATAACACTTGCTGTTCTTTTATACTGTATGTTCTGACATGTTTATTATTTCTTACTCAGTCTCTTTTATCTCAACTTATGACATATTTTGTCATTAAAATTATAGAAAAAAATACACCCCAAAATATCATACACATTCTATTCCTTTTATTTTTGTATTTAAAGTTTTCACAATTTCCCCAGAATTCTAGGGAATAAAATGCTTTGTAAATATTTCCACAGCTGCATCGTGTCTGAATATATCCTTGTTTTAATATTGTTAGTATTTTCTTACTTTTTCATAGTTTATTTATAAGGATATTAAAGACATTATATGTATATGGACATTGACAGAAATAAGAATTAAAATACAAACACTTAACATTATTAATATTAACTGAGAGTTGACTGTTGACAAAAGGAGAACTTAACTATCTGGTTCAGCAAGTGTTAGGAGATAAAAACAAATGAGTTGGAAGACACACCCACGACTTGGCAAAATAGGAAAGTTAAATAAATATTCCTCTGGCATTTTGCATGGGCACGCAGTCTTTTCAATTTTCACATAAATACAGGAATTAATGCAAATATTATCTATATGTATTTTTTGCACAGCAACTTCAATTAAATGACTGGTTGTACAAAGACAATTTTCCCAAAACAGTTTAACATTTTCTAAAAATGCTTTTAGCCCGTATGATCTCGCGTTAAGATGGAAAGACTGTCAACAAACCTGATTTTATTTTCAAAACATAGACTTATATTGACATTTACACCCGCGGGGCTGAGACACGTCCCTAACAAGTTGGGACAAAGACAAATGATAAACAATGTTTTTTTTATTAGCATGACAGCCACAGCTGCGACATAACCAAATCAAAGCATCAATAATAACTAAATATGACTAGTCCCGTGGTGGCATCTTGATCAATGTCAGGTAGGTTAACACTCAGGGTCATAAAACATTACCAGCGCCCTCAACTGGGCCTAGAGTGTTACTACACATCAGAAGTCACTTTACAACAATATCTATTCGCCTGCTTGAAGGCCTTGGTTTTGCCAGTTCAAAATCTGATTGGTCAAAGGAACAATCTCATTGCCATTTATTTTAGAACAGGCCATGTACCAGTTTGTCTCTGGCCTATTAGAGCACAGGGACATAGAGTAAAATACTATGAAGTACTTATTTAGAATATAATTTTTTTCATTTATATAATTTAAATATAAACATCATCACTGAATCTTCCTCTCTTGAATTGAAAGACTCGGTACCGCCTCACACCGTAGGCTATGCAGTGCTTTACCAGACAAAATGGAAAATAAAGAGGTTTTAAATATACAAAATGTCAAAAATTGGGTCGTGAATTTACTCAACCCTGAGGGATTTAGAGAAGCAGAATGGAGAAGTGAGTGACGACAGTGATAACACCGATGTGAGAGGGAAGTCACGGCACAGGTAAATGGATAACAAGAAAAGGTTAATTCAGTGTGGAGTCACTGGTTATTCACCGTCAACATGTCTGTGGACAATACCACAATATTATTGGAAGGGTTTCTGCAGAAAAGAAAGGATACTCTGGTAAGAGGTCGCATTTTGTTAAAATGTTTGTTTAAAATGTAATATACACACATATAGGAAAGAAAGATATACAGTATATACTGTATGTATGCATATACTATATATATGTATATGTATATACATACCGTATATATAAATGTATGTGGATATTTTGTGTGTGTATATCATCAAAACTAACCTAAATAAATGAATTGTTTCTGTTTTTTATTTTTCAGAAATTAATTTGGGTGACGTATTGGTTCAGGCTCCAAAATACAACCTTGTTCTTCTACACCAAGAACTGCAGCGCTGTAAGTCATCTTGGTGCCAGAATCCTCTCTACCCTGACTAGTTGTGCTCATTTTTAGAATCTGAGCCTGTTTTAATATAATGTGAAACTGATGTTATTGACTGAACAAACTAACTGATGGAGACTTGGCCATGTTTGCTGTCCTCCCTTTACAGTCACACTTAAGAGGCTACTACTACATCTACACAGTAAGTACCAATTTTAATGTCAGAACTTTTTTAAATAAAATGTTAATGTAAAAAATATATATATAAATGCCCTGCTTCTGTCATAAAATATGAATATTTATAGTTTACTGCATTATTACGTTTTTGTTTAGGTAACGTGATTATACTCCTGTTGAAATACATGTAATGTACTGTACATTTTGAATAAAAAAGCCAACATCTGTTGGAAAAAAAAATATTAGTAAGTAGTGTTGGAATATTGCTAGTTAATACAGTAACTGGCTGGAAGGAGTCAGTTCTACCTGGGCAGCCTGAGGCTTAGTTATTGTTTATGAATTGGTCATTTATTCAGAGAGTTGCTGGTTTGAAACTTGACCCTAGCTGGGCTAAAAACAAAGTGCAGCCCACTCCTCCAGTGTGTATGGTCTTAATCTCATTTGGAAAGGTCAAATGTTAAGAGTAATTTCTCCTCAGACAAAAAAAAAAAAGAACTGAGAATTTGCAGAAGAAGAGCTGAGGTTAAAAAAGTAATTTTGTTATTGCTTTCTCTCTTTGTAGACCAGGGGTCGTACACTCATCAGTGTTGGATTAACATAACATACAATAGTATGATATAAACAGCAAGTACACATCTAGTTTCTCATTCTTAAATCACCAACTAAAGCATTTTCCAAAATTTGAATTCAACTAATTTAGAAATTGATCCCAACACTGGGGAATTTGAGGGCTGCAAGTGGTCCCTGGGCCAGATGTTTGCAACCCCTGTTGTATAAAATTAAAAACTGTCTTCAGTTAACATCTCTCTCTCTCTCTGGGCTCAGGTGCAGTCAGTGACGGTGGTGCATGGATTGGACAGCAAACGTTTTATGTTTCAAATCATTCTAAAAAATGGAAAAAGAAAAACATTGGTGAGTCACAACGGTGGAAAGATTTCTACGTTTACATGAGAACTGTACAGACTCCAAGGCCTCTCAAATGTGTGTGTAGGCAGCTGAGACAGCAGCGCTCAGAAAACAGTGGGTCACACAACTGTGGGAGGCCATGTCCCTGTCTGTCTCTGGCCTATCAGAGCGCAGAGGAACGGCGTGAGTAGAAGGACTTAATGAAACACTGGGATTCAGAATAAAATCACCAAATCTGACCTATTGACACTGATGTCGGCTTCCTCTTGACCTCAGCTCTGAGGAGTGTGAACAGCGAGATGGACAGGAGAGCAGCACACAGCTCTGGCCCCGCAGCCCTTCTCTGAAGGAGCCTCCTGGTTCTCCTGCTCCTGTCTCAGCAGCTTCCTTAATCCATAATCTCTATGAATCGAAGAAGACTGTTTCCTCCTCTAAGATCGTCCCTCAAGAGCAGAAGGGTATGAACAACTCACCACAACTCAGCGTCAGACTTACTGAGCTGGTATTTCACCAACAAGTTCTGGTTCTGTTTCCAGGCGACTCCTTCAACAATCAGCAGAGCAACACAGAGTCCAGATCAGAAGGAGTCTACGACGTTCTACCGCTGAGAAACCGTATGAGCTGCTACTTATTCAAACTGAGTTCACATACCAACAGTTCATTGTGTATTTTGGCCACAACCCAAACATTGGGCTAGGTGATGTGGTCCAGAATTTATTAACCATCTATTGTATCTCCAATCACATATTGGTAAATTTACAGAAATGTTACTAAATATTTTTTACTCTTTGTGATACCACCAAATGTGGGCTGTGACCTGTTGTTGGGTCACAACCCTTTTTTTCGAGAACCGCTGCTCCAAAACACTAACACACAGCGTACACTTGTGGCTGAATTCTGATGATTTGTGCTTCTCCTCAGAGATGTGTGAGATTGACGGGAACAAACTGCTGAGAGAGGGCGTGTACGACACTCCTGTGTTCAGACGGACGACTCCACCACAGGGTGGGCTTCACATTTGATTTTCTTTTTCTGGTCTCCCCTATAGCATTAACATGACAATGATGAAGAAATAAAACAAATACATGCAGTATTTTCCACATTCTCCCAGATTCAACAGAGAGTATTTACAACATACAAAGAGTTCAACCCAAACAGTAGGCCAGACCATGTGGTCCAGAATTTATTAACAATTTATCTCCAACTCTATGCAGGGTAATTAAGTATTATATGTGGGTAAATTAATTCCATTTGGTGATACCACCAAATGTGGACTCCGTCCTATTTTTGGGTCATGACCCTTCTTTTGAGAACCGCTGGTCCAAAATACTACATGAGTGTACACTCGTGGCTGAATTTGTGCTTGATGATGATTTGTGCTTCTCCTCAGAGATGTGTGAGATTGACGGGAACAAACTGCTGAGAGAGTGCGTGTACGACACTCCTGTGTTCAGACGGATGACTCCACCACAGGGTGGGCTTCACATTTGATTTTCTTTTCCTGGTCTCCCCCACAGCAAATAAACAAATATGTATAGTATCTTTCAAATCTTTACAGCAGAGTCAGCAGAGAGTATCTACAACATTCCAAGAGTTCCCACGTCTGCTCTCACACCAGGTGAGAACATTAACAACATGTTGTATAATTATACTAATTATCAGTAATCAACTGTGGCAGGTAGTGATCTACTACTGAAGACACAGATTGAGTTTTCAAGCATGAACTGCAGCAACATTTCTGTACATCAAATAATATTTTGTATTTTAGATTTTTTTAATTTAAATATCTGCATTTACTGTGAAGTTTTAGGGAGCAGTAAAGCATGAAGATTTTGAATGAATACTAGAATAAAATGGTAACCTACACCTTCAAGTGTAGAACTTTGATCTTTTAGAAATCAAACAAAAACTACAAATCATCTAAATGCTTAAATGCAATTTTTTTAACCCCCTTTCAGATGACCACCATGAAGACATGGATTGGAGGATTTGACATCCACTTCATAGACCGGAGACAGAATTAATCAACTGTTATACAGAACAAAAACAAACTCCATACCAAAGATATTCCAGTGTGGATTTAATCTCATCCCTGTTTACACAGATCATGCAGCCATTTATATTTACACAGTACAGGAATATTCACACCCTCATACAAACAATTATTCACAACAATTGCAGGTCACCTGGTTCACAGTTTAAATTGTACGCCACCAACACACATATTGCTGTACTTCACACTTGGTTAGAACTGGTTTCAATGGGAATGGCTTCAAGAAATTTAACACAGTTTTTGTTGCAGCAAAAAATTAAATGTAGTCATGCTTTCAAAATCTTTTTTTTTTACATTTTTTTTCCTTATTACCTATATTGTCTAATGCTGCACCTTTAATGTCCCTTACGTCCCACAGAATTCTTCATTAAAACAAAGTAACAGAAATGAGTCAAGACTTGGTCTTTATTGCAGGAAACTTTGGAGAAAGTACTTATATATATGTAGCTAACTTACTCTTACCAGTAAAAGAAAATAAAAAAAAAGAGTGAAAACCTCAACACCACAATATGAAGTAATAATCACAACCATCTTTGCGATCAGTTACCTTCTGAGCATAAGATGAATAAAGATACTTCCCAAGAAGTTGGGGTCTCCACAGGTGTTAGTTTTAGGGTTGAGAATGTTTTAATTCACACAAATGTAAAGTTAATGTAGTGTAGGACTGTTTATATGAAAAAATTCTTCCACTAATGCAGCGGTTCCCAAACTGGTGGGGAGGCCCCCTTGTGGAGGTATTAGTAAGAGGACAGCAGGTCAAATCAATTGATTTTTTAATATTTTGTTATTTTCCCCCACAGTGGGGAAAACAAAACTATTTGTAATGTTATTTTATTTTTTTTGGTAAAAACAATAGTGTACAAATTTCATGGAGTTTTGAAGCAGTTTTGAAACCACTGCCCTAATGGACACAAAACATCCATAAATTACACTTCATCTACAACAGAGCCCAGCAAGAAAAGATATCCAACGTTATCAGACAGACACACAGAACGTAAAAAGAGTCCAAAAATAATAGTGCAAGTCCATGGTTGGATTAAGAAAAGGAAGAAAGAGGGTCAGAGGAAAAAAAAAGCAAAGCAAGAAAGTGATTGGTGCACCTCAACAGGAAAATACACATTTCAATTATATATTATAGTAAACCATAAACCACAACATGACAACGTAGAAGCAACGATCGTAGGAATCAATGTTGAGATCACCGTCGCTGTCCGGAATTTAGCTTAGATATTTGGTATAAAGTAATGTTATAAACAAAAAACGTTAAAAACTAGGGAAAGTCTCATGTTAAAGTGCTGATCTTTTACTGATCTGTCTGACTCTGGCTTCAGCTACGACAAACTAAAGTGTCCCAAAGAAAGATGTTTGTTAAGGAATGCTAAGTGCATGTCGACTGTGTGTTTTTTTTTTTTTAACAGTACCTATTGTAGATCGAACGTCTGCTCTGTATAAAAGGAGCAGAAGTTTCAGAAGTGGACCAATGTTAAAGTTATAACTTTAACATTGGTCTCATCAGCTGGTAAACTCTACATCTCCCCTGGTTTCAGTTCATCTGTCAATGTGTGTTAAGATGGGATGTAGTGCTGGGCTTACAGTGATAGTTGTCTAGCTGGTAGATCTGGCGTCTCCCTGGACGACCACCTGACTACTGGAGTTCTGTGTAGTACTAAGATCAGGCCTGGGCTTGGGACAGTTCGCCGAGAAACTCCTCCAGGACGGAGATGATGCTGCAGGCTTCAGGCAGGTCGCTGTGCTCCGCCCTGGCGTTCTGCAGCAGCACGTCGCCGTTCCCGCAGGCCTGGAGGAACTGGCAGCAGCGAAACAGTGCGTAGTGACTCATCTCCGCCTGACGCACGAAACGCTTCAGGCTGTTCATGTCCTGAATGGCCTGCGGAACAGGAATCAAGAGTTTGACAGGGAAGAATAGGTTTTTAAACACAACAATGCTATTACAGGCGTACAGCAAAACACATTAACAGGTGCTCAGTGCTACAGTACTCAGCCAGAACATCATTGCCTCAGATGGATTTGCTTTTTTTTTACTGCCTCAAACCGCTTTGATGAGTCAATTCATTTTCTTCACTGTTATTATAATTTCTTGTTTAAATAAAGTAGATTCACTGAAATAAAAGCACATGAAGGAAACTGCACTGTTTCTCATCTCTAACAATCCAACCTTTTCAACTACGTTGCACTTTATACAACTACAATAACTGCAGAGAAAACACAAAGTTTGACCTCCAGGTTAAATCTGAGCTGCTGACTGAACCGAGACCTAATGTTTTCTAAAATATATAGAAATTGGAGATTCTTCACCTTCAGCTTAAAATTCTCCAGAATCTGTCTGAGCAGGAAGGGGTTACAGTGTTCTGAGGCATTCAGAAAGGCCTGGATCCAGCCGTCACAGAAACGATTAGTGACTGAAAAACAGAAACACCACAGAGATTTTTCAACTTCGTTGTCGCACAAACATCAGGTTTTCTCCTATCAGAAGTAAATCGTGGAGCCCAGCTTACCGGTGTTTACAAATGTGGGTGGGCTGACGGAGCAGTCAATGACCAGGTTGGACTGTGTGTCCTCAGACATGGCTTTACACAGAGAGGCTGCTGTGGAGTCTTGTTGTTGGGACAATCCCTGCAAACTGGCCGCTTTGATGAACCTGCAGCACAATTCATCAAACACAGATTAAACGGATAGGAAGTTTTGTTCAGAGAATGTTGTTAAAAAGGTTTCTTTTTTTGGTTTGTTTTACACCTGGACCAGGATCAATGTCTATGTTAAAGGACCACAGGAAATAATATTGAAGCTATTTCTCATTTCCTGCTCTAGTGGCAGGTAGAAGAACTAAAAATAAAAAAGTATTTTTTAGTGCCATGGCACAGTAGTATGCTGTGAGAGATCATCAGATGCATGGTGGGAAATTATCCAATTTCACTCCATGGGTCTTAATAAGCCACTAGGTGGCACCAAATGTCTATAAACTAAAGCCTCAGAGCTGTTGAGGAAGTGTATTTTTTTCCCTTTAGTTCCAGTGAGTATATCAGGGTTGGATTCAACTGAACAGAGCTGGGTGTAATAGCGAGTGAGAACATTTAAACTAGTTGATTTTTTTTTATTACAATTAAAGTGCCAATTTATGATTGTTCAGAAATCCACTCTGACTGTAAACTACAGAGTTGGATCAGAGTAGTTACGAAACAGACAGGTGAGACTCACCTGGACACATCAGCTTTGGTCCGTTCATCTGAATTGATGACGTCAACAAGAGTTTGACTCAGAGCCTGTAGACAAAGATATTAAGTTTATGATAATAAAGAAAAAATAATGTTAGTTACCAAGTCCTCTTTCTAATACGCAGTTTTTATACAGTATGATTGAATAATAACTTACAGCGTGCAGCAAGAAGCTGATGTTGCTCTGGACCAGCTGCACCACTCTGTAGATGTGCATCACAGACTCCTCAAACCAGCGGCTCAGGTAGGGACGCACCTCTGTCTCAAGGTTAAGAAGCTGACAGGACATATTTATTTTGAATTACATCTGCAGCATGATGAAAACATGTCTTATTTGAAAATGGCTGGCTGTTCATACCTCTGGTGTCTGCAGACTGCTGTGCAGGCCTTGGACATATTTGTCAAGTTCTAATCTGAATGTGTGTTTGGTCAAGGATCTACAACAACTGCAGAGACAATCACATTTACAAAAGTGCACCAAAGTAAGGACAAGGTAATAAATGGAGTGACATGAACAGTTATGTCTGACATCTTAGGGTGAAGGATATAAGTTCAGGCCCTTTTCAGAGCCACCCATGAAGCAAATGACGTATCCATTTCCATCAACGTCTGGTTGTTCTGGAGACCGTTCGTGCTCCACGAGACAGCAGTAGCAGCCAACGGCCTCCTCTGGGATACTGCAACAAACAAATGCATTTTGTCATATCTTTTGAAAAAAAAGTAAGGATTTACAAATGGCACAAGAAGCATGAGTAATAATTGCCTCAGTTCCACGGTGGCGATGTTGCCCATGCCTCCCAGCAGCGCTCCTTTGCTCAGCCTCCTGGAGATGTAAGTCCGCAGCTCAGGTTCTGCCTCTGAGGGCAAGCTGCTGTCAACCAGTGTGAGGCTGTAGAGAAGGGACACAGTCAGAGTGAATACAAGCAGAGGGAAGAGACAATAAAAACTTGGAAGCCACTCATGTCAATGGAGAGAAGATGGAAAAGGTTGATGATCCAAAGCCACATCCAACACGACATATGACTCACAGCACAGCCACAGCTGTGGAAGAACAATCTCTGACAAGAGCACATTTACGTTAACGGTTCTTTCTCAACACTTTAACAAGTTATCCAAAGGCATTCATTCACTCTTCGCCAAATTCAACTGATGCAAGTCGGCGGCACTCCAATGAGCAGAACAAAGGCACAAATGAAAACAGACGTGATTGTGTAACTGGATTCCCTGAAGTAGCCTGTGAACACGGATGCACAGCACTGGAAGTCAAAGACTCATGACTAGTGAAAGCAAAGAGGAGGAAGAAGACGGAGGGCTCCATCGTTACCTAAAGTCTTCCTGACTGGTTGTGGAGTCTGCTCTCCGCTGGTTCCATGACACATTTTCCCCAGAAGCCTCAGATCTAAGACAATTGACAGTAAACTCATCATCTGCTGCGTTTAAGGGACACGTGCATTTACCTTTGTCGGCATCAGTAAGGAGGAAAGGAAAGTTATAAAACGTACGACTGAGTTAAATCGAAGGCTTGTTTTCTGATCACTTGTTACAGGGACAGGCATCAACCAATCAACGAGGATGTTTATTCATTATTAATTCACTTAGAAAAGGTGTTATAGACTATATTACAAAGTGGTTTCAGAAATAACTGTCAAAATGAAGTCTGTGGGAAAATTTCCATTTATTTTAACTCTAAAGGTTACTTCTGAGACCAACAGTCGATTCCGCGGCTTCACTTCTGCAACAGAATCAACCGCAGACACCAGTGTCGCGCGTACATAAAATACTAAATGGGAAAACATCGTCACTGACCTTGTGCCTTCGTAAAGGTAGATGGTATAGTAGCAGTTGAGCTGGATTTTCTGGCTGTAGCCAGGGATGTCCTCGCTGTCAAAGTCATCCCTCTCATCCACGTCTATTGAATCCTGGAAGGAGGAGGTTTGGGAGGTAAACATGATCCCAGTGCTGCAGGAGACACAGCTAGCAGCCGCCTTACACGGGTCAAAAAACCAAAACTATATGTTAGTTTAGATGCACTAGCGGGTCAAAAAACCAAAACCAAAAACTATATGTTAGTTTAGATGCACTACGTATTTGTTTTAGCTTTAGCAAGTTCGGAATAAATGTTTAAAATAGTCAGGTTGACGTGTATAAATGAGCACTCCAAATGGTGATACTGGAACGTCCCCCTTATTTGACAACTGCGCATGTGCAAAAGTGCACTCATAAAATGCGTTCGGCTAAACTACGAAACGTCGATAGTTCCGTTAAAGAAAAAAAAAAGTAGAAAAAAAAAAAAAGGTAGAAAAAAAAAAAAAAGAAGGAAAAAAAAAAAAAAGAAAAAAAAAAAAAAGCATAGACTTCGGTAAATAAAGGGAAAAAAAAAACACCAAGATTTGAACTGAATAATTTATTATCGTTTGGGTTCGTTTGGTGCAGAAAGATCAGTTTCTACAACAGTTGTATTCGACTGTGAAGTCATGTTCAGTTGAACCCGTGTGGTGATTGTAGTGCCGTTAGGGGCCGCTGTGGCGTTAACATCGATCCCGTCAGAGCCCGTTTTCATTGTATCCTCAGTATCTTCGTATTCCAAATCTTCATCTGTAAAAATGAAAAATTACTCTCAATTCAAGTCCTTAGTTTTAACATCTCACAATCGTCTTGACTTTACCTTCAAGATCTGGTTCATCCTCCTCAGGCTCCTCAACCTGGTCTAGTTTAGGAGGAACAGAATCAAGTCCCTTCTGGTCTAGAATAAATATATACACACACCATTTTGTAACAGGAGGGCTTTTAAAATTTCACTACAGTTTACTTACCTTGAGGTCTGTTCACTCTGCTCCTCCAATGACTGCCATAGAGAGCTGGTCTGCTGATTTTGTTGAGCACAGGTGGAAGCTCTTTCTCTGGCAGGGCTATGCTCTTATGTCTTGCTGGCAAAACCACAACTGGTCCCACTCTTGCCTCCTGTTCCAACACTAGAAAACACAGGGACCTTAGATTTATGAAGACAAAAAGTGCCATCTAGTGGTGAACTGATAGTTGCTACTGCACCTTTACTCATTTTCAATCCACTTCTCCAAAAGGACTCAGACTGGTCCGGTTTCCCAAATCCACGAGGACCAAACTTGCCAGGCAGACTGTGGGTTTGTTCCGGTTCGTTCTGGCTTTGACAGTATCCACACAGGTAGTCATTGCCATCGGCCGACTGCCACCTACAAAAGCATTGACAATTTTTAGGAGAGTCTCCCCCTCCCCCCAGACCTTCCCAACGCAACTTGACCTTTCATTACGACCCATCACCTACCTCCCATTTACAAAAGTACAAGCCTTGTTCAGAGAGTCTGCATCATTGAGTGGTACAGCATTCAGGTGACAGGTGATGTAGAGCTGTAATCATTTTAATCCATCTTTGAAAAGCATTCATCATTTTATAAAGGAACTGGTTTTCGCTGTGACCATTTGTTGATTTTAGTGAGAAATGGACCACATGGTCACCTTCAGGCCTCACCTCAGCCCTGTCCTCATTGTGAAACCTAAAGGCATCAATGACCATTTGAAGCTTGTCATCTTGTCTCCTGGGCAAGAAGCTGGACCTTGATCCAAGGAGCTGGGAGTCGAGCAGGCACCTAGAAGACAAGAAGGAAAAAGCTAAGGAGAAGACAATAATAATATTTTTATCTTAATCTATTGGCTAGATAAAACGGGTCAAAATTAAATAATTTAAAAAAAAAAAAAAAAAAAAAAAGGGGGTGGGGGGTGTACAGCACCACAGTACCCTGGTCAGACATACCTGTTATAAACTAAAACAACTTCTCAAAACTTACTTTCTAGCCTTTTCCAATAACTTAGAGTTCTTTCTTGTTCTTACCCATTTTCAAGGAATACGTATCTGGGAGTAGAGTGTATGTCCGGGGTTAACGTAGCTACACAGCCAGTCACAAACACTTTGAGGCCCATGTGATGTCCAACATTGACTGAGGCCTCCACATTGATGGCATCGCCCAGGAAAAACACATTAGAGCTTCTTTCATACAACCAGTCATCTGTGAAGAGAGACAAAAGTTATTTATTCCAAATTAAACTTTAAGAGTCCATAAACAGTTCTCACCAGTCATTATTCTCAGATCAAACTCCAGTAACTCCACTGCGGCCTGTGTAGACATGAACGGAGCCCAGGTGGGTGTGAGGGAGGAACTAGACAGACTGTATTTCCTAAGAACCAGAAACAAGAACTCATGGATCAGTTTACCACATTTGTTTTTGTAAATGTTTGCCTTTGAAGCCAAACCAACCTCTCATAATGACACTCGATGGGAACCACAGCCTCCTCCATCCTGACCAGCCCGTCAGTGGAGGCCAAAGGAGAATAAATGAGGAGGTTGGTGTAAACCAGACTGTCTTCAGTCATCTGTGGACAAGAGCCCCTTTCATTTAAAATCAAAACTAACATTGCCTAAAATAAATATGAAAACATCCATCCATTACCCAGTGCTTGGTGCCACAGTCTGTTAGCCCGACAACAATCGCGTACTCCTCCCCTGAGGTCACCGTAGCTTTACAGAAGTTGTTCTCCTTCACTCCAAGGCGCAGCTCATCGCTGTTGACAGGAGCGCCGACTCCAAACATGTCAGCTTTGATGACGATCTCCAGCGAGTCTGGATGGCAGGTCACTCTGACAGTGTTCACCTGCTCCTGCTTCACAGACTGGGTCTTCTGCTGCTCAGCCTTGGAGCTGTAGCGCCGGTTGAGCAGGACCTTTTGAAGGATAGCATTTTGTCCCACATGCTGCGGTGGAGGAAAAGCCAGAGAGGATAAAACACAGGCTCCAGACCAGAGGAGAGCAAAAACCAAGCGCTCCATCAGTGTCACCCAGACTCAGACTGCCACAGCTCCTTCCTGAGCCACAGACCTGCAGCCATTTAAACGCTCACCACAGCAGTGCACAGCTGAACACACTCAGCCACCAATCAGCTCACGATTGGACGCAACAGTTGAAACAGTTCTCTGTGGAGGGAAACAAAAAACAAATCTTATAATTTAAATTATTGTCACCTATTGATTTAATAATATTGATTATTGATTTTAAAACAAACAAATCCTGAAAAATAATAAATGGTCACAACTTTTTTTTATTAACAATTGATTCGGTTTTTTTTTATATCTTTAGCATGGAGTTAATATTAACTACACAAGATGTAAAGCCTTTGAGCAGCACACTTCGAGGTCGTCTTCCTGCTCTAAGATGAAACAAAAACAAAAACAAAAAAACCCCTCAAACAATAGAGTCAGGCTGCAGGAAACAGAGGCGACGACACGTCTGCTGCACATCTCTGCACTCATAAGTGAAACAGAGCCGTGAAGATGAACTGGGTGTGTGCTCTCCTCTTCGCGTGGCTGTCAGAAGGTAAGACCAGCTGCTTTACTCTGTTAAGTTCTCAAAGTTTATTTACTGGGAACCATGATAAGGTTAAGGGAATTGATTGTGGGATGCTTTAGAGCTGAAGCAAAACAGTGTCTTCAATGTGTTTGTCAAGAACCAGAGTTTCCAAAGATAAACAAATAAACAAAACAGACAGAGGGAGGAACAGTATTTTCACTCAATGTTTCCAAAGATGAACAAATAAACAAAACAGACAGAGGGAGAGAAGGAAAGACAACCCCCCCAAAAAACAATTTTTTAACGTAATGTTAAGATGCAGAAACCACTGACTTTAATGAAGGTAGGATCGTCCAAAGAAGAAGAAGCAGAGCCTTCATTCCACCTGACCTCTCTTATCTCCAAACTGCTCCAGCTCGAATGCTATCTGTAATGAAAAGGAAAAGTTTGTCATTCAGCAACAGTTTTACTGCAATAACTTGTCTTGTTTTTATTTAAATCCCTCAAAGTAAACAGACCTTTAGCCAGTCAGAACAGGCTCTGACCACATCTTTACTAAGACTTTTCTCTCTCTTCAGCACATGCAGCACTGATCTTCAGATATCTGTCAGTCAACCAGTCCCTGGAACTCTCCTGCTCCCTCCGGCCGAGCCTCGGCAGCTTGAAGAGACTCCATCTGTATCACAGAGACCCTCAGAGTCAAACCACTCTTCTGTCCATGTCGGAGGACGGAGAGCTGAGTGTCGCACCGCAGCACAGGTGGCGCCTGCAGCTCCGAGGAGGACCGCAGTCCCCGGAGGTCAACGTGACCCTGTCCCACTTACAGCAGCGCGACACGGGGCTGTACCTGTGTGAGCTGAGCTACACAGAGGTCACCGACCTGCTCCTCAGTGACCATCAGGTTTTTGTGTTCGTTCACAGTGAAGGTAGATGGATTTAATGTCCAACTCCTCCAGTTCAGACCATCTCAGTTGTTTATTATCAATGACTGGTGTTGGTTTGTGCTGCAGGGAGACCGTGTCACTGCTCTTCCACCTACCTCCCTCTGATGTTGACCATCTTTGCAGCATCAGGACTTCTTGCAGCTGCTCTCCTTTGGCTGGCCACAGACAAATGTGTGAGTCCTTACTATTTTTTAATTTTTAATCGCTTCAAGTTCTCTTTCAATTTTTTTGACTGTCAATAGACACAACCCATCATTTTAAAACTAACTGATGTACTTTCCTTTTCTACCCAGTGTTTATCTGTAATCTTGCTAAGGGACCGTTCCTGTTTAATCTTTGATTAAAATGTAGTATTCTGCTGGGTTTAATATAGAAAAATGTATTTGAATTAAATAAAATTATATAATGAAATTGTATTGAAATTTAACTGAAATAATACATTATTTAGATAAATGTTATGACTATTAAAAGAACATACCCATTGTTTTGCTACCTTTAATTAAAAAAAACTTTTTAATTTTGACTAAACAGACATCAACTGTCTTACTTATATTAAGTATTACCTCAGGAAAAAACAATTTTATTGACTTGCGATGCCGTTTCAAAATCAAACATTGTTTTTTGACTCTGATTTTAATGTGGCCAACTACTCTCATTGTATTTTGATTTCTCACCGACTCGTATGTGAATATTTCTGAAAATGCTGTTGTGTTGCAGCTGAATACAAAGCATCACCACAGACCACAGCCCCCCAGTCATAGCATCTACGAGGTGATGGACAGGAAGCAGCAGAGTGAGGTTACCTCCCAAAATAACCTCGAGATGACCTCACACCTGGAGGAGGAAATCTATCCTGTCTACGCCAACCCGAAGATCATTGACCAACCACAGGACAGCTACTACGCCTGTCCCAGAAAGCCCCACCTCAGAGCCTGACCAACATGAGGAAAAAAAAAACGAAGAAAAAGACAACCAAACCTCAAACACAATCAAAAGTCACATTTAACAGCCAAGAAAAACAATGCTATTTTATTAATATTTGAAAGAAGCTCCATAGTTCATGAAAAGATTTGCTTCGGTGCATGTCATTTTAACGATCACATTCTATGAGGAGAAAGAGATATACAGAGTGGAAAAAAATAAAAACATTACAAGCCACAGACTTCTTGTTAAATCTCAGTACAGTCTTTTTTACTTAATATTAAAAAAAGGCAACAACAACAAAAAAAAAAACTATATCTGATACCCAAGCGTTTCAAACCTCTTACCTTTACAATTAAGGGAGGAAGAAAAAACAACAACAGGAAAGAATCCCACAGTGCTTTAAAAGTGAGACGCTCATTGGTTTGAGGAAAACACAGCATGGCAATGTAGTGTTAGTTCAATCAGAATCAAGGGGAAGGAAGTGAGAGGCAGAGGGGTTTCACATCAGTCACTCCGCCCCGACAAAACTTCCCTCAGGAAACAAACAAAAAATCCCCAAAACAAACAGGGTCAAATCATCAGAGAGGAGGAAGAAGAAGAAAAAAAAAAAATCAACCCTGAAATAGATGAGCCACTTCAGAAGAAGTCGGCCGTTAAAACCCCCCCAAACACTTGTGCATAGTTTCATCGCTCTTTACAACCAGCTCATGATTTTTTTTAATTAATTTTTTTACAAACTCCGACGTGTGAAAGGTTCCACAAAAGTCTGATTTTATCTATTTGTAATAATTACAATAACATTAATACCCGCTGTGGGAGAATATGAGAGAGAGAGAGAGAGAAAGAGAGAGAGAGAGAGAGAGAGAGAGAGAGAGGTTAATGCACAATGTTCCTGATTCAGTCAGGACGGAACCTCATTAAGAAAAACACAATAAAGATTTAAACATACAGCATTTTGCATGTTATTCACCGTCTTAATTTTCTTTAAAAAAAAACAAACAATCAAAAATCATTACATTTTTTTGTTTTTTTTCAATGTAAAGCATTTTTATATATATATAGATTTATATATAAAGCACTCCATTCTCATGTAAAGTCCATTATTTGGTTATCGTGTAACTGCTACGGATTTAGAAACAAAGGGTTTTTTTTCTCTTCCTCTGAAATCCATAACTTTCAGTGCTTAAAGTTGTTTTTTTTTTCAAATCGTCCTCTTTCTTTTCTCTTTTCTTTTAAATCCTCATCATCAAAAGACAAAACAAACAAAAAGAAACGTGTACATTACACATGGCGTGGAGTCGGTACTCTGGAACCCTGGCCTTCCTGAGACAAGATCCACTTTTTCGTGTGTGTGCAAGAAAGTGAGCATTTATGTCTTTTTTTTTAATCTTTTTCTTTATATATTTATATAAAGGAAAAAAAACAACAACATTATGTCAAATCGACAGAAAACAAACAGGCTTTAAGAAAGTCCGTGACGTGGACGTGAACGCAGCACGGACAGAGTCCAACAGAACAAGATGACACTGTTCGATCCCAGAGTTCTGAAGAGTAGCACGAGAAGAAAATTCATTTTTCAGTTGTTGTTGCACTTGTTTTTCAAAATGGAAGCATTTTTTTCCCACCCTCTCGCCAACATTTTCCATAGTTTTAGTTGCAGCTTTTCTTCTACTTCTCTGAACTCCAGGAAAAACTAAAGTGTTTGTAAACTGTCAGTGGCCTCGCAGGAGAAAAACAAACAAACAAACAAACACATTAAAACAGAACCAAAAGCTAACAAACCAAAAGAGTAGGCACCTCTGAAGTGAGCCCCAGGCTCCGACTCATGTCTCGTACTTCACTCTCTCTCTCTCCGCTGCTCACATTTGGGAGAGTTCAAGTCTTTCTACCCCAAACTATGGCCACAGGTCTGTGTGAAATACTTTTTTTTTTTTTTTTTGCTGTATTTTTGTTTTAAAAACATTTTTGATTTTTTTTTTCTTTTTTAAAGGTTTGTAGTCTGAAAATTGGTGCAATACTCAAAGATGATCCATACTTCCTTGGACTATTCCACGATGAAAGCCACTAAGGTAGATAAACGTTACATTAAAAAGAAAAACACACACACACACACACACACACATACTTATTTTAGTCCTTGAGTAAACATTTACACATGAACTGTCCCCCGTCTCCCCTCAGTACTTGTATCATGTTGTTCGTTTAGCTGGATGAGGGTTGAGGCCGACACTCAGTGCAACGCTAGAGGCTAGTAACAATGTACATCAGAATATATGTATTTGTATATTTTTGATGAGCAAAAAAGAAAAAAGTCTAAACCAACAACAAATGTATACTGAAGTGAAGAGAAACACGAGGCCGCAGTTCCTCTGCTGTAATCACCGGCGCTCACACACAGACACAAACCACTTCACGTCACATTCGCACAATCGTACAGTACACGCAATCTTGTGCAAACGCTCCAAATACGACAGATGTAAAATTCGCCTTGTTTTCTTAAACAAAAAAAACAAAACAATATTTCATAAACAGGATTCACTCCAAACTGATGATTAAAAAAACAAACAAACTCAGAAGTGTATGGATGAGACACACACACACACACACACAAAAGCCACTACAAAAAGTGTTCACATTACATTATTGGCGCTTCTATTGATTCAAGTATTTGTTTTCATTATTTTTTTTGTATTACTTTGATATGTTTATGATTTGATTTCTGGGGAATAATATGTCCAGAGGGACAAAGGCTGGAGCTGGGGACTGGAGAAAAGGACAGAGGTCCAGAGGAAAACTATATTCCAGTCATATATACACATACACACATGTATACAAATATATATATATGTATATACATTTATATATGTGTGTATATATTCATATACACATACATATATACATATACATACATACATACACATATACATACATACATATATATGTTTATATAGACATACATCCGTTGTACACTTTGTATGAACTCACATGTGCATATTCAACCCAGGCCTTTGCATTTTAACAGATTTGCTAATTGAATCCTTATGGGTAGGGGAGGGGGTTGGCCATTAGGGGGCCCCAGAACCCTGGTCCGATCCGTGATTGAGAAGCAAGTTCTGCTCAAGCTCCAGTCGAGACTTTGTGGTTTCCAACACCAGACAGGTGGATGTGGAGTGGCTGGAGAGGGCGTCCGGGCGTTCAGTGCTGGTGCTGCATCAGGAAATTCCAGGGCACGTCTGAGACTCCGCCTCCGTCCCAGTCAGCCCTCCTCTTACTCCGCCCACCGTCAGTTGCTTGATTCGAGTCCAGTGTGGAGTAAATGCAAACAGACACAAATAACACAGTCAATAGTGATTGTTCTTCTTCTTCTCGTTGTTGTTGTTGATGTTGAAGGAGTCCTCACTCTGGGACAGGGATCGTCCTCTACGATTTTAAGACTTGGTACCAAACATGAGGTTTGTGGCTGTTTCTTTGGGGTCCCTGCTTGGACCCTAAACCTCAGAGCCAGATGTACAGAGTCCAAATGTTCAGTAAAACTGCAAGAGCGAACCTTCAGGTCGGAGGTGGGAAAAACAAATATCTCCGGCATACAGCTCCCCCACGTGTCAGGTGGGGGGAGTCAAAGAAGTCGGCGGACACGTAGTCATCTCAGCCTCAAAGTGCACAGCTGGAACACACAACATTTTGTAGTTTTCTTTTTTAGTTTATGCCAAAAAACAAGACAACAAAAACAAATATTGATGCTAAAGAAAAGATAATGTTTTTGGTTTTTTTTTTAAAAGAGATGTACCACATGTGACCTGGAAACAGTGCACAGACACATGCAGGGTCAGCGCCCCCCCCGCCCCAACTCTCCAGTCTTCCATTCATCTGTCCGTCCCTTCCACTCCTGCTGGGAATCTCAAGTCTGGTCACACTGAAGATCAAATTAGGATTATGGCGAAGAGAAAGTGGATGGTGGAGAAATCAGTGGGCTCGCTAGTGCCTCCAGCAGGTCATCTAGTGTCATGAGTAGCTCTGTCCACACACTGGGAGACTGAACGCCTGAAGCGTGAAGAGGAGTCACTTCAAGGGAAGCTGCCTGGTAGTCGGGGGAGGTGGAGGAGCTGGGATCAGGGGACGAAAGTGGACGATGGCTGTGAACAAACACCTCTTTGTCTTTGCATAGAAATGGAAGGCTGTCATCAGTCGAGGTGGTCGTAAGAATAACTGAACGCTCCCAGAGTTTAACATAAAGCACCAGTGTGGCTGAGGTGCATCGACATGAAAGGAAGTCGCGGGGAAACCGATGAGGACAGGTGGAACCAGGATGGATGAGGGGGAGATGGGGGGGGGGGTAGTTTGGACTGAACCTTCAAGGACAGAGCTGGGAAATAAAGAGTGGAGAGTGGATATAAAAAGTCTGCAAACCCAAACATGACCAAATTTGACAAAGTGCGAAAAAATGTGAGACTTAACTTTCGACATCTGTGAAATTCAAGTGAAAACAAACTGAAATCGTTCATAGAACTCATCAAATAAAGTGCAATTTAATACTCAGCCCCTGATAATGAAGGACCTGTTTGAGCCCAAAGCACACATCAAATGGAGTAGTTCCATTTTCTTTCCCTTCACTGAGCCGTGGTCCACAGATGTGTAATCTTACTGTTGAAAGGTTTCAGTCAAGAAGTCCTGAAAGGACGTCTAAGGCTTTAAGAATTCAAATGACGACGTCCATCATAAGAAGGAGAAGATTTGGCACAGTAGTCGTATAAAGCTGAAAAAGTCAGGCTGCAGAGAGTTATGTCGCAGGTTTTTACAGCTGCTGGTTGCTCCCGTTTCAAGAATCTTATTTTACCTTCATATTTCAGGACCACGGACAGGGACATTAATTTACATTACGTCTCCCAAAGGGAAGACGGGTTACTGTGTGTTGAGGTAAAGGTGCAAGAACAACACTGCACGGGCGACTTTCAACAAGCAATACCCAGGAGTATGTCACAGAATTTTGCAAATGACAGATTCTCATCTGTAGAGACGGGGTCACTACATTATCATAGGTGCTGTTTTATCATTATTCTTCTAAAAAAATTTAGAATGTTTTCAAAGATGAAAAAATAAAAGAAATCTTGGCATCTTTGATTTAATTTTTTTTAAGCCATGTGTAGACTTTTTATATCCACTGTACCTCTGCACACTGGTTCTGCCCCTGAGGCAGTGGGAGGGGCAAAAGAGAAGCTGAAACACTGCATAAAGAGCGACATAAAAGAAGTGAAGTGATCACAATCCTCAACTCACACCACCAGTTAAAACAGCGACAAACATCAGCACATATTTACACCACAATAGAAGAAAAACAAAATGCACTTATAGGCAATTCTATAAGTCAAATTCCAGGAAAAAAAACAAACAAACAAAAACACATCAAGTGCCTCCTTGCTCGGCTAAAGTGATCTTTGCAGGAGAAAAGAGAAGAGAGAGTGGAAGTGGAGGCTGCCGAGGACAGACTCTGGAGCAGCAGTAGTAGAAAAAAAATTCAACACATGTGGGGCCAGTTCTGAAAGAGCTGCTCTTGGCCTGGAGGCCCGAGGGGAGGGGGGGGGTGGTCTGTGGGGATCCGCAGGGAGGCAGGAGCGAGCGAGGAGGGGTGAGGTCTGCTGCAGTGTTCTGCACTCTGCAGCAGGCAGGCACTCAGTGACCACACCATCACACAGGTTGGCAGGGCCTCCAGTGGAGACGAGAGAAATCAAGAAAAGCTCAGAAAAGAATGAAATGGCGATCGTCCCCCGCCGGAGCCGCCGGGTGAACAACACGGTCCAACAATTCCAGACGCCAAGGCGAGAGATTCTGTCGTAACAGTTTGCAATGTAACAGTGATATTTACTCTGATAGAGAGAGAGGGTGAGGACGAGTGCTTTCACTGCACGGCAGTTCACTTCTTTCTTTGTAATTTCCCTTCACTTTGCTACCATGTCTGATATCCTTCTTGGTCCCACTGACTTGAGGGAAGAAGGACTGAAAAACAAATGAAAAAAAAAAAATCTTCACATCCATGTCGAGTCCAAAAATATGTTTTTCTGGAGAAGCAACGAAAAAATAAGATTGTTTTTTTTTTTGTCTTTTTTTTTTTTCTTCAGTTTTTCATTTGCCAGTGTTGCTTCTCCTTTCTTCTGTCCGTTGGCATCAAAGGTAAAAACGCCTCTGGTTAAGTGCTGTGATAAACCAACTCCAAAGACTCGGCTTCATTCTCTTAGACCGATGCAAAATAGGCCAAAAGGTGGGGAAGAAACAGGCTCATCTTATTTTGGTTTGATGCCTCATCCTCGTCACACACACACACACTCACATACACTCACATTCACACTCACACATAAACAAACCGGTCACTCTCTCTGCCCCCAAAATAGTCACTGGCATAAGTGAGAAGAGTAAGCTGGCTGACGAAGTGCTTTTTTTTGTGTACGTTCTTGTGGTTAGTCCAACACCAGCATGTTACTCTCCTGAGTTCAACCACTCCTGGCAGGGGCTGGGGGCAGGGCGGGTGAGGGGGGGGGGGGCCTCACGGGGGTGGACAACTGTTCTTATCAAACCATATAATCCTTTTCTCTTTCCGGGAGGCCACGGTGCTTGGACGGTACAGTCTGTGGCTTTTAAATATTGCACGTCGATTGAAATGGTGTTCTGCAGGTGGAGTGGATGGCGTTGGGAGGGTCATCGACGAGACCACCGCTGGGAAACAGCTGCAACTTGAGTTTTGTCCTACTAAAAATCATTGAGAGCAACATCAGAGACTGAGAGCAAGGCTGCGGGTGGGCTGCAGATGTTTTGAGGTGCACTGACGTTTCTGAAGTCTTTACAGTTCCGTACAAAAAGCAGTGGTTGGTTTTGCGGACAGCGACATCCCTGTATGCAATGACCCCTCCCACCACCACTGAACGAATCCATCCGTCAGGTAGGATTGACAGACACATTTTGAATGATTCATTTTTTTTAACCTTTGCTTGCAATGATTCAAAGAGAAAAAAACAAACGAACAAAAAAACAAATACAAAAATAAATGGCTTGAACAAGGCGAACAGAGTTGCATCATTCCCTTTGAGCGAACTGAGGAACTCAATCTGCTTTCAAGAATGCACTGTGAGCTGTGGTTGCTTACGTCCAGCAGCAGCAGCATGTACTTTCCACTCAGGTTTCACTGGCTCAGAGATAAGGGTGTGCAAGTGTCTGGATACTTCTTCACCGAGTACAGAGTGAATGAGGAGAGTAGGGCAGACAAAGATTAAGGCTAATATTAGTGATGAGAGACGTGTTTGATTCTGGACCAGCTCGAAGTTCAGCAACCACTTTGATTGAAGGGTCTCGCTTTGGGAATGATGTCTTTTTATCGGGCATTTTCCGAGGTGCAGCACGAAGGACGAAGCGCGCACGTTCAAAGATGGCAGCTCCTCAATGTGTCAGTTTGATTCAGGTACTTGTTTTCACACAGGAAATTCTTCAGAGTTCACTTCAGTTAGGTTCCCTTTCATGGTTGGAGTGAAAAGACCGTCCCGTGTCTCCAAAGTTTGACGCGCAACACTGCCAGAAAAAAAATCTCATGCAGAGATTCACAGAACTGCAACTGAAATGTCTTTCAAACCACCAAAAGGAGCAGAGGAGGACGAGGAGGGTGAGCAGCGAGGATGAAGCCCCGTCCTCCCCCCGTCTCCTTTCTTCCTGTTCCACCCATACTGATTATCTCCACACTGATTTGAAGGTTTTTGCACCTTTTGCTGTTTGTTTACATGGACTCTCCGCTCAGCAGGTCTCCAGGCAGCAGCGTATTGATTGGGGTGGGACTCCCCATCACCCGTCCCTCCTCTCCGCTCGGGGGTCCCCACAGGTTAGAATACTGTTGCACTCCGCCCCAAAGCAGCTCCCCGCCCGTTTTGGCTCCGCCGGCTCCCAGGCCAGTGCTCCCGCTGCTGCCGGCGCTGTTGTTGTTGTTCCAGTGTGGAGAGTGACCGATGGGATGGGAGGCGGCGGACCCCGTCCCACCCATCCGTGCTTGATTGACTCCTGGAGTGGCCTGCCAGCTGGTGGTGCCCCCGAGCAACTGGCCCTGTGCAAAGAAGCGGTTCACTTCTTCCTCCCCGGCAAATTCTGCCAGGATGGTGGTGTTCCCCAGCACGCACCTGGAACAGAAACCCCAGGAAAAACATCAGTGACCAACGGTCGACAAGGAAAACAGCAAAGACTGTGAAGCAGAGCCTCGACGTTCGTACATGTGCAGGGACTTCTGAGCCTTGGCGGCTTCATCCTTAGAGCTGTAGCGCACAACAGCGTTGCCCTGCGTCAGGTTGAGGTGGAATGTGATGAGCGGGCCGTGCTGCATGCACAGTGTACGCAGAGTGGAACCGTCAATCTGGAGATGGACGGAGGAAACAAGGGCAAAAAAACACAGGTCATTCTCTGAGCATGATGGAGTGAATTAACAAGCATTTGGTCCAAAACTTCACCTGCGGAGTGAGGTTCCTCAGAACCAACCAGCTGCTGGTCCTGCTGGAGCTGTCAGTACTCCACGTGGTACCTGCTGTGCACCAAAAAAAAAAAAAAAAAAATCACACAACAACAGTGATTTCTTAGCCTGGAGTTGTATTTTTTTGCTCCTTCAATTCACTAAAACCAAAATGTCACACCAACTGAATGGGAGGTGTTGACGTCTGTAAAAAGGAACAGGAACCACCCAAAGACTGTTGACAGTTTTTAAACCACAACCTTTTCATTCCAGGGTGTAGACTATTCTGCTAGCCACATCAAAGTTGTACTGAAACTGATCCGGCTCAGTGTAGAACACGGCCTGGATGTTGGTATCTGTAGTACTTCTACTGTGTATTAGCAGAGACAGGTGTTGAATTTAGCTCTTAAACCACAGGAAATGTTAAATTTATAGGCTAATGCAACCGTTAATTATCTACCAATTAGGTAGAATGGTAAAGGTTCATCAACAAAGTACAAATCTTTTACACTTTAAACAGTCTCAAAATAAAAAAAAAATCACCTGTTGTGTAAGAGGTGCTCCACCCTTGGCTCAGACCCAGGGAGTTGCCCCCCCAGGTCGAGGAGGGCTTGGGGTTGGTGAGGCCGGGTGGAGGGCGTGAAGGTGCTGTGGCGTTGCTGCGGGGGCCCTGAGGGACCTCCCACAGCTTGTGGGACAGGGAGGCCTGGCTGTGAGAGATGGGCCCCGGAGACCAAGTGGATTTAATCTCTGAGAGTTTACCTGGAGGAAAACAGAAAAAACGTTTAAAAACAAACAAACATAAAAAGAGACAAAACAGCACAATACAATAATGTAACAATAGTTCAGCCCCAACTGCGTCACCTGTGGTATTTTAATCTATAACTGTGAAATGGCATAAAAATGTAAACTAATACATTTAATAAAAACAAAAACTGATGTTCACTGGATTACAATCTAAATTTCTGTTATAAAATCTACTAATTTACCCTAAGAATTTTAAGATCATTTAAGTCAATACTTACTATGAAATGTATCAGTAATGTAATATATTTACTTCAACACATTTAGCTAAAAAAAATTATTGTCATCAGTAAAGTAGGGGAAACAACAACAACACACCACTAGGGGGGGATGCAGGTATGAGATCTAAAAAGGAGGCGGTGTTTAATCAGCAGCAGAGAGGAAAAAAGGACGAAGAAGATTTTAAGGGGTTACTGTAACAAGAGGACGACACTGAAACACAGCAACCGAGCAGCTGCTGTTTTCACCAGATGGTCGTTGTGGCGGGAATATGGATCAAACTGTGTACCTGGGTCGTCCGTCTCCGGGGAGGACAGACTGAATGAACTAGTGTAGGCACTGACTGGCCAATCAGTGGAGGGAGGCAGAGCCTCCATCTGAGATGAAGTGGGTGAGGAGCCTACGCCGATGTCAGCGACACAACACAGACACGACAGAGAGACAAGGCAATACGGCAGCAGAAAGGAAAAAAAAAGTAATGAAGTTGCACCAGACTGAAAGACAGTAAAGTCATTGAGAAATAGATAAAGAAAAAAAACGAATAATGAGAAAAAAAAAATCAATGATCAGAGTTAGAGCAGAAGAACGAAGAACAAAGGAACGACAAGCAGGTTCTCTGGAGGGCAGCGGCTTTGATGCGGTCAGATTTACGGCTAAACCCAAGTCTACAGTACCATCCTGGACACTGTGACCCCCGTCCTCACCTCCACTCCTGTCCCTCAGCAGGTAGCGGTTGACATCTTGGATATTGGTGTTAATGGTGGGTCCACTGGGGACACTGCCAGGAGTCACGTTGGGGTCGGTCTCAGGGTCGATGTTTTGAAGGCCCTTCCAGGGCACGCCTGGGCAGAACTCTGGGGATTTAAATAAATAAAAATAAAAGCGTTAATATTGTGATATTGGGAATAGCTATCATTAACCTCTATTAAAACTGAAAAAAAAATACATATATATAACAATACATACATGAATGTTGAAAAGATAAAAAGAGAACAACGCCCTCTACAGTTGACTTCCTGTCACTCCTCACCTGGCGGCCAGTTGATATTGGTCCCATTCGCCATTTTGTCACTGTTGCTTTTGCCCTGTCCCCAACTGTCCGGGGGTACATTGGGGCTGGTTGGAGACTCGGAGCTGGACATGAGGTTGTATGGACTGTAGGAGTCCTCCAGCTGTGGGGGCTTCCCAGGGGGGCCCAGGTTGGCACCTGAGAGAAGAAGAAAACACAAGAACACAAGAAAATGATTCTGCTAATTTTTTGGATTCTGTTGACACTGAGTTGATATGAAGGATGATATTTAGGTATGACAATTTACCCTAAGTAATCATAAATTATGGTCATGATTAAACTTTTTAAAATATTATTCTAACTGATGTTAGCCCTACTTATAATACAGTTGCCGGACTTTCTACTTGTTATTTATTTATTTAGTTTTGTGCATTGAAATTAATATAAAAATACATTTCTCACCATGCTTGACTAGTGTGGGCTCCAGGGGAGAGGGGTTTCCAGAGAGACTTTCAATGGCGTTGGGATGTGTCCACTGTGAAAGACGCGACTGGGGCTGGGGGGGTTCCTTCATAGTCAAACCCACCTCCATGCAGTTTACATTCATGTTTGGATTCAGTCCAGCTTTAAGGAACGACAACAGAATTTATTGTTCTGACGTGAGATCACAGGGATCGGTGTTGTTTCACCATCTGAAGAGCACAACAACCGTCACTTACACAGAGAGTAGTGGCTGTAGGCGCTGGGGGTCGACTGCGGCTCTTTGGTCTGCAGGTCAGGAAGGCCTGATGCCTGGGGGTGACATGTAAACGAGTCCAAGGTGGATTTGGCGCCACCAGGCTGCAGGCCTGAGTGGGAAGGTGGAGGCTGCTGCTGCTGCTTCATGAGCAGGGCCTGGGCCAGCTGACGCTGGTGCTGTTGGATCTGCTGCTGCATGTTATTGATTGTACGTGCAACCTGGACATGGGCAGAGAAGAGGACGAATTAAAGACTTCTTATATATAAGCAGATGCAGCCTATTACGACCGATTTACTGAAGAAAATGGTTCAGGGAGAGTTCAGAGGGAGACCTACTTGCTGCTCTTGTTGTCGGATGGGACCAGAAACGTTGCGTTGCGCCTGCAACATCTGTTGCTGAATTTGTAAACGCTGGTATGCCTGTGTATCAAGGATAAGAAATAGTTTTTATTTCAGGCCTCTGTTGACAGATACAGTATGTACTACGACTCTCCAGTCCTACTGTACTGTAGTATCACTGCAGTAAAGGACACTCACCAGTTGCAGCTGGTACAGTTGATTCAGAAGGGTCATATGTTGAGGGTTTATTGGTGAGGTTAAAAGTGCAGGATTAAGACCAATGTTTTTTGCTGCAAACTGTAAGAGCTGTGCTTGAACCTGGTGGTAAACACAGGGAACACGTGACGTGACTAAAGAAACTAGAAACAACAACAAACTTCTGTATTCGAGCCTGAATGTACCTGAGGGGAGAGAAACTGAGGCACTTGAGCACGTAGACTAGGCTGGGAGGAGCTGAGAGGCGGCACTGGTGGCTGAGGAAGCTGCTGCGTTTGCTGCATGGTCCGGGCTTGTGCTGCTCCACTGCCGCCAAACATTCCACTCTGCATCTGCTGAAGAAAATTGAATTTAAATATACAGTCTGCTCAAAACCGGTAGACAAAATGCCAAACGTTAGATGGATATTCACAGAGAAAACTATTTATACATTTGTTTCTAATTGTCTCACTGCCTTCAGTTTTACATCATCGTCTTTTAGCTTCTACTCCATCACTTGCTTTCAAACCTTTCAATAATAAACATGCCGCTGTTCTGCAGTGACAGTAAGTGAGGGGCTAACAGTCCCACCTTATCCATGAAGGGCAAACGTGGGTCGGCTGAGGGGTCTTTGGAAAGAAGCGGAGGCCGTGGGCAGCTCATGGGCTTGTTGATGAGCCCGTTGTTGTAGTCGTGGCCGGCGATGCCCATTCCTCGCTTGTCCAGTTCTGTCTTTTTCTCCAGCAGGGCGCTCATGGCCTGGTCCAGACTCATGTTGTTGCTCTTTAGAGCCTCCTCTGCAGGGTCCCTCTGCAGGACAAACAAGAAACTGTCAGTGATGACAGACTGTAATGGAGTTTTTTTTAAACCAGCACAGCAATCAATTAAACTCACAGGGAAGCCCATGTCTGTCAGCTGTTTGGTGAGACGATTCATGATCCAAGCTTCCTCCTGCTTCACTGGGACCTTCGCCTGAAAGAGACGATGGGATTGTTATGACTTCAGCAACATTCTTAGGTGATGGAGATCCTGTGGAGTCAATCTGTAAATATGTGGTTTTTTCTTTTTAACTATTTTCTTACCTTCTGTGGTGCCTTCTTAGATGCATTGCTCCAGGAATTACAGGAGGAGTTGCTCTCCTGGGAGGCAGCACTGTTCCACATGTCTCCCTCCTCAGCCTCCCACTGCCCCCCTGACAAACTCAGCTCCTCACTTCCACCTCCCCATCCATCTTGCATAGGTTTGGGAGCTGAAAAACAGTGTTGATGGGATGTTATTTATTTTATTCCTAATGTGCACAATGAAATATAGCCCACAATAACTGAAACAATACATGGCCACTAGAGGGCAGTGCAGATTCCTGTGGAAACTTTCCTGCATCATAGGTTCCCCTGTGCCATATTGATGTCCTTGGTTTGACTTATCAGGGGGGAATCTTTTTTTTTTTTTTTTTTAAAGCAGTGGGGTATAATCATGTTATACTCTCAGATATAGACGCACTTCAAAAAATATATAGAAAACTGGAAACAATAAAGGCCGAGTTTCCTACCAGGTTTACAGGAAGCAGAAGTCATTGTTGTGTTGCCTCTACTATAGGTGTCCTGGTTACTGTCTCCCCAGCCTCCACAGCTCCCGGTTGGTTTGCCCCAGGCGGAGGTGCCGTTGTCCACAGTGACAGGAGAGGGCGCAGGTTCGCCCCAAGAGCTCTCTGATTTAGTGTGGGAGTTTGGTAGCTCTCCCCAACCTGGAGGACACACAAGGACAAGAGCAGCCTGTAAAAACGCTTTACTGCACAGACAGAAACGTCTTAACAATCACTTCTGTACAAAACGGCTAACTCTGGGGAATTGTTTACATGACGAACCTTCCTAAAAAGAAAAAGAAAATATACAATATGAAGAATAACTGCACAGGAAAAACTGTGTTACTTTGAGCCTTGTTAGCAAGTTGTTTAGGCTAATAAATAAACTTTGCCTCCATTAATATCAGTTATTATTCTTCTATTCTGCATACATTTAAATGTTTCCCATTTGTTACAATAGGTGCAGCTGTTAAAGCTGCTGACAAACAGTCGCCTCATTTGTCCCCTTCTTTTCAAGTGCTAAATACCAGTCCTGCAGGGAGGCAGAGACCTGAACTTGGCTTAGCAGAATGACTGAGAGAGAGAGAGGAGATACCCGTTTAAAATTTGGCACGGCCTGGTCACTTTTGGCATGTGCTGTCTCTGGGAATGTTGCAGTGCCAAAGCTCAACTTAGCTCACTCTCCAGAGAGAGAGCCTGAAAGTCCACCATAAACTAAAAAAAAAACAAAAAAATCCATCATCCCTGCAGGAATGACCTTGGTGACAGGTGATTATTTCACTTTAAGCCAGCAGATGTCCATGTGGAGTCATCCTGCAGGGTGGGAGACAGCAGGGGGTGTCTGAACTCCCTGAATTTTCAAGGCCTGCACCACCTCCCACTCTCTTCAACTACTGACAGATGGCTGCTACCATCTAATCACACGCTTCCGACCCGTTTCAAACAGTTTGTGGTGAATTGCTATTTTCACAAGCCACTTTGTAAACAGCATTCTTCTGCTTCCTTTGGGTACCCCATGAGGGGTTTCCAGGGGGATCCAACCAGCCATGAGCAGTGTTGTGAAATGTGAGGAGCCTCGTGTTAGGACAAGGTCATCACTGATTAACTCATCAATGGTTGATTACATGAAAACCCAAAAAAAGCAAAACAGCTGTGATTATATAATTATACACGTGACATTTATGGAGATTGAACAAAATAAATTTAAAAAATCTATCCTAGACAGGACGTGCTTTTAATTGTTCAATAGGGACTTCTTTTTTAGAAACGTGATATATTTATTAGTTATTTTCAAATGTGGACAGATGGTCTACCGTGCTGTTAGAGAAGATAAATTAGTCCTGCAGCATCCCCCCGTGACGAAAAATAAAATATGGCGTTTTAAGAGTTTTAATAAAATATAATGACATTCTAGTTACAATTCACAATTTATTAATCAGTATTAAACCCTGGTCTGCTTGGTTGACCACAACACTGATATACTCGCAGGAATTGAAGAAAGCCACGCGCAAGATCTTCTTTAACAGACAAGACTCAGCTGCTATTTCAGTTTTTATGTTGGACTAAACTGAATCTACTGTGGATTAAAATGATTAATATGTTACAAAATTAGACAAAAACATTTGCCTACCTTGACCAATCAAGGGACTCCTGTTGTGAGGTGGGCCAGGCTGATGTTGCACAACAGGATCTATAGGTCCACTGCTGGAGCCTGGGTTTTGAGTGTTTTGGTTATGGTTCTGTACAGGTGCAGGTGGCCCATGGTATGGGTGATTGTGAGAGTGAATGTGGTTGTTGTTGGGACCTGCGGGATTATTGCCTCCACTGGTAACTTTAGGTTGGGACATCCCTGGATTGTTCCTGTCCCACAGATTAACCGACTTGTTGTAGGTACCAGGGTCACCCCAGGCTGAAGTCCCATCATCTATTTCCATCTTACGTCTTATTGAAGTTGGGGAGGGCTCTTCCCATCCTGTAGACTCGGGGATACCCTCCTGTTTATTGCCACCCCAACCTCCACTTTGTTTTACTGAGCCAGAACCAGCCCAAGAACCCATATTCCCGCCACTATTATTGGGACAATCTTGAGGCTTTCCACCCCAACCTTGAGGGGGGGCACTAGGGCGCTGTGAAACAGTCTCTCCCCAACCACCATTTCCTCCTGTCCCAGACGTCACTGATGCTGAGGGAGGTTGTCCCCAGCCACGTGGGTTTTCCTTCCAGCCACTAGCATCTCCCTCCCAGGCAGGGTTGGTGGGGGTTTTTTTGTTGTCTTCTGGTTCTCCCCAGTCACCTGAGTTATTGCTCCCACCACTGTTGCTCCAGCTTTGTGATGTTTTGTGTTGTTCAGTGTTGCCCCATCCCTGTGATGGTGCCTTCATGTGAGAATCTTCCCAACCGCTGGACTTCTCCTCTCCCCAGGACTGGCTACCAATTTTGGGTGCACTGGGAACACTGCTTCCTGCTGTAGGGTTACCCCAACCACTGGAAGTCCCTGGGGGTTTGATGTGGTTGGGAGGATCTCCCCAACCAGGATTTGGTGGGTTTGTTGCTGCCATGTTTCCACCCCAACCTGAAGCACCCTGAGAACCTGGCACATCAGTTTTACTCCCAGAGTCAGTCCTCTGAGCGAGACCCATGTTGTCTCTTTTGGATATCCCCTGGGCACCGTTTGGATTGGTTGGGGCAGAGCCCCAAGATTCAGTGCTTACATCATTTTTACGTTTAGTATCTTCCATATCCCAGGAGGTGTGCTGGCGCACAGGGGTCTGTCCCCAGCCAGTGTTGCAAAGTACTCTGGGATCAAGATCCTGGGCTGGCAGTAGTGGAGTTGGATTATCTTTAGTTGAGTGGTCTCTGCATGGAGGTTGTCCTTCTCTGCTGTCACTGCTCCCTTCACTGGCAGCTGCTGTGCTCACAGCTCTATTCCAAGGGCTATTCTGGGAATCTTGTAGAGGGGAGCTAGGGGCGTCCCAGCCACCTTTGGCTTCCTCACTGTGCTGCTTTCCCCAATCTCCACCAGAATGATCACCCCAACCTCCAGAGTTTCCTGGTCCACCTGTTCCTTGACTCCAGCCAGACTCCCAGGCAGATCCATCCTTAGATGAAGGTGGCTTTGATTCACCATTGTTACCCCAAACTTTACCACCATCATCTCCATTGACCTGTGGGACCCCTTTTGTAGGCTGGCCCATGGAACCCAGGCCTGCAGATGCATTACCCCAAGCAGGCAGACTGTGGATTGGGCTGGGGGGTTCCTGCTTATTAGTGTGATTTGGTCCATCAGTTTTAAGGTTTTGAGGTTCTGAGCTAAAAGACACATTCGTGGATGAGGAGGGGTGTGACTCTGATGCGTCAGAGGACATAATATTACCCCAGGCGCTGCTTATCCCCGAGGAAGTGCTGTTAGTGTTGGCTCCGGTACAGGTGCTGGTCTGGGATGATGTAGGACCAGGCAGATTACAGAGGTTTGGTGTAGGTTGAGGTGGTGAAATGGTGTTGGCTCCCCCTGAGCTGCCTCCCCCTGTGCCACCTCCATCGTGACCCAACATGGGCCAGGCAGAAGGGTTGGCATTAGGGTTTAGGTTCAAGTTTAAATTCGTGGAAGATGATGAGGAAGAGCCCCAGGCCCTGCTGCTTACTCCTGTGACTGAAGTGTCACGTTTCCCTTCATTTCCTACTAAGGACTGAGGGTTGCAATTGGAAGGTCCAGCACCAGAGCCCCAGCTGCGGTTGGCGGCGACCTGGCCGGACAGCATGTTGGTTCCAGTGTGACTGGCAGGATTGGGTCCACTGTTGGCCTTGTTGATAACGTGGTTGCCAGGAAAATGTCCTGTCTGGCTATTGGCCCCTGTGGCCATAGTCACTGTACTGTAACTGCAATTAGTACTGCTGCTGGAGGTCAACTGACCAATGTCAGTATCCAAAGGGCATCCTCCGAGAAGCGTCTGGCTCTGGCTGAGTGTAATGGAAGGCCAAGCCTCTGTGTCCTTCTGGTCGATAATCAGTTGATCCCAGCCTGTGACACGGGAAGAAGAAGCAGCACTTGTGGCACTCCTGTTGGCTGGCAGGTGTCCCCAGAGGGGACTATCATACTGGGCTCCCTGGCTGCTTTGTGGGGGCAAGTCTGTCAGGGAGAAGAGAAAATCAAAAGAACATCAGTGAGATCTTATGATGAGGATGTAAACAAAGGTAGTGCTTAGAGGAGTGTGACGTACATGAGATGCAAATAGACATGAATGAGCCTTAATGTAAACAAAAGTCCAATTTAAACCGTTCTTAAAACATCTTGTGCAAACAATACTTAAATTTATTTTAGAAAATCATTGTTGCTTTCCCTTCTGTTTCACATTGGGTCCACATTGGTGGATCCACTTTTTTTGTGTTTCAGTGTCATTTTTAAATGACTATTTACACTTTGTTGTTACAACCTCTGCACAAACAATCTCCACTCATTCACAAAAACCTGCCTCGTACAAAACCCCAAGTGATGTTTCCACTTTTACTCTCACTGCTCGACATTACACCAGGCATCACGGTGGTCTAGGTGCACCAGGGTAGGACTATGCACTGACCATCCTGACACCGCTACAACATCCCGGTGCATGCACTGTGTCCCTCGACGTGCATGATGAGTCCGCACACACAGAATGAACGGCAACAGCGCTTGAAATTGCCCTGCTTGCAGCTAAAGTAAAAAGCGAGCAGGAGAGAGAGAGAGAGAGAGAGAGAGAGAGAGAGAGAGAGAGCAGTGGGAGAGCAGAGGGAAAACAGGGCACTGTGTTTCTGACACACACAGCGTTGTCGTTCTGTAGCGTCACTCTACTGAGCAGTGTAAGACCGCCATTTTCTCAGTCCTGAATTGGAGCCAAAAAGGCTGTGAGCTACCGTCTGTATCTCCAGGTTTTACAGCGAGCATGTCTCGGTTGCAAAAATTAAACAAGCCCAAAACTCAACACTGCGGGTCCACAACGCACAGTGGCTGCAGCTTCAACGTTCAAAAGTGATCGAGCACAGAGTATGTAACACAACCAAGCCACCAAAGCAACAGAAGAGGCAGAGGAGAGAGGAAAAACACAAGGGAAAAAAAAGAAGTGTGTAAAATCCCATGGAGAGGTGCCTCCCAACCATCCTGTTAGGAGCTAGGTTTTGTGCAACGCAGCAGCCATCCTTGTCTCAATATGTCTGCTCGACTCGCCAAGCTTCTGAGGCTCATTTCTGAAGTGCTGCCAAGAAGTTGCACAGCTCTTGCGCGGCATGAGACACCCCCCTCCACCCCCCCACCCTTTCCTTCCTCACCCCTCATGCTCCATCCCTCCCACCAACACTGCTCTGGCTGGGTTTCCTTGCTTCTATTTATTACCCATCTCCAGCCTAATTTATACCGTGTTCTAGTCCAATTCTAACAGAGGATATTCTCTCCATCACCCTCTCTGGAAAAGGACGGAGAAAAAAGGCTGGTGTGTGAATGTGTGTTTTTATGGGTTAGGAGGGAGGCATATAAATTCTTATATTATAATATTCTTATTACAACCAAGGTGAGGGATTCCTTCATGGCTAATGAGTGGAGATTTTCATTATACACTGATAAGGCATTAGGTCCTCTAGTTCCTCCATCCCTGCATCTTTTCACCTTTCAAAACTATTAAATATTTAGCCCAAACTCCTCCATCTGCATTTAGCTCTGTCGCCAACAATGATCAGCAGCAGCAGGCTAGAGCGAGAAGGATAAAGAATGAGAAAACCCCAGAAAGATCCAGCCACAACTGCTACAAGGCTGTCGTGACATTTTTCAAATGCATACATTTACATAATAACAAGCACAAGATATGATTCTGTTTTGTAAGATCTGACTGCATGTTGAAAATGGGGCGATCCCTGCTTGGACACAGGGCCCAGAAAAGGTTTACATGGCTCTGGTCACAACGTGTTACACAGAGAGATGTGACCTGGTCTGAGACAGAGTCTTGGTGTCGAGGGTAGGGAGCGGGGCAGTTAATGCTGGAGCGTGTTTGGATGACGGTATGGGAGCTTGGCAAAAAAGAGAGAAAAGCATCTGTTTGGATCAAGGCTTGTATTGTTTACAAATGATCCCTACGCCCACCAGACAACACAATAAGTCAATGTTTGGTAGAGAACAGAGTCCCTTTATAAGCCAGGTTCAGCCCCCGTGCCTCTCCGCTGTGAAGACCTGACATGTGGTGAGGTCATGATGTGCTACGAGATGGACGCGCGTTCATTCATGTGTAAATGTACACATGTAGAGACGACACTCGATGTTCTGTTTGCGTGCAACATGTTGGCAAACAGAGAGGACACACAGCATACGTCCTAAACGATAACAGCGTCAGGAGAGAGCTTCGTTTGTCCGTTCCTCCATCCCTACAACACTTTTATGAACGAGCATGGAGTTAGTGGTAAAAGGATGAAAGAGGCAAGATTAGAAGAATTGGCAGTATTGGTCAGAATAGTAACTCCTCCACTAGTATTGCAATAAAATGACCAGATTCTATATTAGTTTATTTATTATATTAGTTTAGTTTATTTATAAACGTTTCTCGATCTTTGAATCCCAATTTTCAGCCATTTCATGTTGATGTTGCTCTGACAACAAAAGCCCTATTAAAATTTAATGAACCTATTGAACAATTAAAGGGAGAGGACCGGCTGCACGATCACTAATTAGTGATATTTCATTTGCGTACAAAGAAAAAATGGCAAAATATACAACCTGATTTAGTCACATAAAAAAAACAAACTGGAAGTTGTTCAAAAGAACAAGATAAAAGAACAAAAAAAGGTACATCTGGGTGTTAATGAGTTTTCCAAGAAGTTGCTATTTTTAAAGGCCTTCTATGGTGCTGTCAAAACCAGGTAGAAACAAAACATTTGTGCCCTTTTTTTTAATGAGACTCATGTAGTTACAAAGAAAGCACAAGAGACATTAAGAGCAAAATTGCTCAGGGAGAGCTGGCCAAATTACCCGTGGGCAGTTAAAATGTTGAGAGATTAAGAGATTGCCAGTTGGCCGTCTTTGACTCCAACAAAGGTTCCAAAAACAATTCAGCTTGGGCCACCGTCCTTGTCATGGTCGAAGACGTTTTCATTTGTTAAACGCAAATAAAAAACTGAGATTGAAACTGAGAGATAAAGAAGGAGGAAGAAGTGATCTAAAAGAGCTGCGTGGGTCTCAGCTGGACTAAGTCTGGATTAATGAAGTCCCTGAGGGAGAGTGGATGGTACACTGCTGACAACGCATGCTGCCAGCCAAACGGATGGGCCTCTCCAACAGGCATGAACACACACCAACACAAAGATGTCGAGATTGTATCAGTATTTCTGGAGATCTTCTTCTTTGACCGTCAGTTTAGCTCTTTGTTGTCGAGGGGAACTGTTCCTGGACGAAGGTGGACACACAACTATGAGATTGTTAGAAAATGTTACCAAGTTCAAAGATTCACATCGTCTGCTAAAGAGTCAGGTGACCACCGACAATAAGTAAGTGGACCCAGGCAGCCAGAGAGGTCTTTACCAAATCGCTGTGGTGACCACTGCTGTGGTGACCACCTTTACTAAAACTTGGGTTTTTGTTAAACTTAAACCTGTGCATTCACTCAAGAAAATGTTGTATTCTTTTGTCAAGTGTTGTCCATGTGAATGGAACATTGGAATCTGCCTGACTTCACATACATAGGTCAGTGGTTCTGGGGACAGTGGTGGTCAACTTTTTTTTTCTTTACTAAAACTAGTAAATGTTTCAGCAGTAAAAAAAAAAAATCTTAGATTTTAAAAAAAGTGTTTTGTCGAGTGAAGTTGGATTTAAGGAAAGCTGGGCTTTAGTGAAGCTAGACCTGAGCGGAGCTGGGTTGGAGCAGCTTTCGCAGCACTGGTCTGGTGACAGTTGGGTAGGAGAATCTGCCAACTGCTATCAAGCGTACACAGAAACAGATGAGGACACGCAGCCTGCAGCAGCTTTTGTTGGTTATGCTGTTAGCAAATATGCACAAATGACACAGGCACTCAGTGGAAATATGTATATAATATGGAATAAAGAAATTAAAACGTCCAGCATCTCCGGACGCTGTCTCTGCAACTCCTTTGTTATGTGTCTTTAAAAATATCTGGTGGGGATATGGGGGGGGGGGAAGTAGGGGGGTTTACATGCTGTTAAAAAGGTAACCTCGATGTCATGTTTATCACAGAGTATCCGCTTTCATTTCTTCCTCTGGGATAAACCAGGTCAAGGGCTTCCTCCAGCATGCCAGTCTGAAAATAGCCAACTGTCTCATGCCCCCACTACATGAAAGAGCCATGGGATATGGACTGTTGACCCACCAAAAGGCAACACTGTGGGAGAGCTTCAATAATGGAAACAATAACGAGTTGACAAACATTCAGTTTGTGCAGGCGGAATAATCCCAGCTGCCCCCGGGGGCCACTGAGGGTATGTGTGAAGTGAGGTGTTGACATAGTGGAGGTGGAGGAGGTGATTACATGTGCATCAGAGAACAGCGTGCGCAGCAGAAAGCGTCAAGAGGAGCAGAGGCTCGGAGCCAGCGTGGAGAGACTGAAAGAGAGATCAAGCAGCGAACATTTGTGGTTGAGAGAGCGCCGATGTTTAATCACATTACGAGACGTCCCAGTCCTCTTTGAGGGGATTCCCTCCGCTCGTTTACTGCAGCGGGACGAAAAAAAGCAAATCGAGTTTGGTCTGCGTTCGCCGTCTGATCTCCACTGGAGGAGCTCAGTTATGTGATGAAGGCAGTTTGTACTGGAGGGGTTTATTTGGTGGCTGCTTTTATGGCACATAAAACCTTGATCATTACTTTATGGCCCTTAAAAGGAGAAAGCAGAACAATGCAGAGAGGACTAATATAAATCTAAAGGGGTATTACCAACACAATAAAATAATACATGACTACAGGACCGTCACCGACAGGTCCAGAAAAGCTGGAACACTTTCAAAATCTGTACTTTTTAACATCAATGAAATGGCCGAAAAAAATTGACCTTATTTGGAATTCTATAAACTATTTAATAAACTAAGCTAATGTAGGAATGATTAACAGATGTAGGTTTACCACTGGGTCACATCTGTTTTCATCATTTATGACTTCTCTGATTGAAAAGTACCATGTGCTGCAGTTTTAGAAGTAGATTATTTTGCTCTTAGTTGCTGTAATACATCTGTGAGATGTCCAACAGTCTGGTCACCATGGTGTGACTCTCCTCTGCATGGTGCACACATTTCAGAAATACATTTCTTTAGTAGTATTTGACTGGTACAACAGCAATACGTGACCTTACATTAAGAAATTATATTCTATTAGTTTCAAAAACTAATGTCATTATGGTCATGTCCAGGTCAGGGTCAAGTTAATATATATACTGTACATACAGTATATATATTAATCAGCATAATTCAAACACTACTACCAGTGACTAGTGACTAGTGTGTTCTACCCGTTAACCATTGTCGGTGATGAATAAAGGGGGAGAGAGGAAATCAGATCTGGGGTCAGTGAGTTATCGTTGGTGGTCTGCCTGTGAATGTAAACTGTATACTGTACAACAAAAACCAGATGCTACAACAGATACATGAAGGATGTGAAGAACAGTTTTCCAGGTCAGTAAATAAAATCAGCAGAATGAAAAGATGTGAAACACCCAGAGCAGACTCTTATCTGTCTGTCTGTCCTGAAGGTCCTGCTGTCTGCATGTCAAAATATAATCATTCAGATGCAAAGAAAAACTAAGCAGAGCAGCCAGCGAGGGGCGGAGGAAACAGCAGCTTTTACCGTAAACCATGAGTCACTCCAGCCCACAGTACTGGACCTCTGCCACGCAGGCTCTCTCCTCCTTTCTTTCTTTCCTCCTCACTTTCTTTCTATCAGTGCCAGGTCAGGCCTACGGAGGAGCACAGCCAACTAGCAGGCTCCATTCTGCTCCTCCTCTAAAACAGGAAACACCGGGGAGCTGGTCAGCAAAGTTTGAAGAAGAGTAGGAGGATGATGGAAGGAGGAAGAGGAGGAGGCGGAGGTGGAGACGATGAAGGCAGGATAAACATCTCATCACTATGGTGACGGAGATGTATTCATAGAGTGCTACGAGGTGGGTAAAATTTGTATTAACTGCATGACTGTTTTGATCAGGATCATCAGAGAGCAGAACATCATTGTATAAAAAGGACACAACAGCCGGCTTTACCATGACACAGTGGGCTGAAGGACAGCAAATACTTCCAGATAGCCAGCTGTGTTTACGCTCCACCCTCTGCCCCTGTAGACTCCAATTCCCTGGAAGCACCTGGGATGGATTTGCACTGCTAAACATATACAGCGTGCGGTCAAAAACACCAGAAAGAGAGCGAGCAGTGACGCTTATTCAAATGTCCCACTGCCATTAAAAAGGCATTAACAAGGACGGGTGGTGGAAACTGATGCATTACCAATGTAATCAATCTGTTGTACACCCACACGCTACTTTATGATGTAAAGTGGACCACTTGGCAGGTGTAGTGTCCGTTTGATTGATATCCTCTCAACATTCACAAACACAGATATTTCTTTGTAACTGATCAGGCTCCGAAACTAAATGCGGGGAAAAAAATCTGCAAAAGGAATAGTTTCTGAGACAAAGGTTTGACCTTCTGTACTGAAAGGTCCAAAATCTTTCTTTTGGGGTGACCAAATCTTCAAAACTTCTGTGGAAGTCATTTCAAAAAAACAAACTGTAATCTGACTGTGTTTGGACTCAATCTTCTGGCTGCTGCTACAAATCCTTTTCTTTAATTTACTCAAACCCTCAAGCAAATTTAAAAATGTAAAGTGCTGCTGTGTATAACCCTACACTCCAGCAGGAAACATATACAGTAGTGTCTTGAGGAAAAGTGCACAACTTGTGCATCTTCAATTAACTGCACAAAAATGAGCTCACGCATGGAGCCTTAGTTTTAAATGAATTGACTATTAACTATAACACCGACCAGCGGTGCACAACAAAATGAAAGTTACAGTCACAGTGCTCACCTGTAGGAAGGCTGGCTGTGGAGGAAGAGGAGGAGCAGGAGTGTATGGCTTCGGCTGCTGAAGGTTCAGTGGGGCAGGGACGTGCCGTGGCAGCCAGAAGCGGACTTCCAGGGGGCAGGGGCTGACCCCTCTTCAACAGCTGCTTGTGCTCCTGCTGGCGGAAGCGAGGGGGCACCTCTCTGGACGGGTAGCGCTGCTGGGGCTGCTGGGTTGACTGCTGCTGACCTCCGGAGGAAGTGCGCTTGCCATTGCCACTGCTAGGGGCTACAGGTGGGGTGGCACTGGGGCTGATGGGGGGAGGAGGAGGGGCTGGGTCGAGCTTGGCAGAGTCTGGCACTGTGGAGTCGGGAGGACAGCGGGGTACCAGGGATGACAGGGAGGGTACAAGAGCATGAGTTAACAAGTGTACACCAGTGGAACAGCCAACACTGTGGTTTCACCCCAGCTCATTATGTCCATAATACCATCTTTACTCCCAGCATGCATTTGTGGAGGCTACAACCTCCGTTTAGACGCCTGACTTGTGTCAGACCAGCCACACTGAGCGCAGGGCAGTAAGTATATGAATATGTCAGGAAATGAATCGCAAAGGAGACAAGTGCAACTCTCCTGCTCTCCACCAGTCACCGCCAAGACGTAGAGTAAACCTTGAATTATACTTTTGCATATTTTTATTGACACTTACTATTTAGGAATGTTGATTTATCTCGATTAATCGGCATTAATCAATAGCTACCCTGTGATTAATCAGAACTTGTACTTGGTTGATAGTCCTAAGAGAATACTTTCACTTTCACATACAACACATATCAGGCAAACGCGACTACAACCTGTAGCCTGATCTGAAAAGCTGCTGTGGCTGCAGCTTTAATTCAAGCCTTGGTCGGTTCAATGGGAACAATGAGGCAAATGAGGTGATGTCTATAAATGCAGCAGATTCCCAGGCCCGGCTCTCGGCAGTGGTCAGTCTAAACACATGGCTGCTCGCTGGAGAAGTGGAGCACTGTAATAATCTCAGGGTGGTACTATAATAAAACTACGGCTTGGCGGTTCGGCCAAAGCACACAGCTCTGAATGACTGCCGTGGTACGTGGTGGCTGAATAGAATTGTTACAGAGGTCCAGGAGCAGATGACAGACTTAAGGCTGGCTGGTCCATTACTCTGGACTATTGTTTCCATCAGCACAGTCAGGTTTATGGCCCCTGAAATAATGGCCTCCTCCAGTGCTGTAGCTAAAATGTACTCAGCGTTTTTATATAAAGCGGCTGAAGCCAAGTGTTCGTGTCCCACAAGCCTTCATGACCCTAATCAACGTGGTCTGGGTTTCCCACCTTTGTCTTTTTAATAACTGTTTAACAGTGACTTTTTTACACTAAATGTTATACAGAGTGGAACCTCATAAAAAGGTAATGAACGGCAGAGCTCGCTCTGAACTAATAACTGTTACTTAATAAGTCGGTCTCTGTTATTCAGGCTGTCGCAATTGCTGGAGTCTGGGGAGGAAAATATAAATAAAGCAACAAAACTGAAAAAAAACAAAACACATCTTCTACAATAGGTAAATACAGCAAGAAAACATAAACAAAACACATCTTCAACAATAGGTAAATACAGCAAGAAAACATATTAACGTAATTTCATTTTCAGTTTAGTTTTTCTTGTGTGTGTGTGTGACATGGAGATTCTCTGCTGGGAAAAAGAAATATAGCTGAATGTGGATGTTCAAGGTCAAGGGTTACCGCTAAGTCAACCAAGCTGCTCAGCTCAGGGTCACGGAGTGAACGCTGAGTGCATTATGGGAGACAAAGTGCACGGGATAATCACCTCGGTGCCTCTCCTTACATAACAAGACGAGCTGCTATAGAAGCATCTAAAGAGTGTGTTCACAGTCGTACACATGCTGTCCAGGAGCGAACCCAAACATCAGCTGATCAGACATTAGAGGCGCTAAGCCAAAATGGTATTTCTGGTGTCTGGTGGTAATAAATACAAGACGACGAGTAGGAGTAGAAAAAAATAAAAAATACAACTGTATAGGCAGCGAGTAAAAAAAAAATACAACTGTATAGGCAGCGAGTGAGAGGAAAAGAAAATCTTTGTGTGGCCCAAAATGAGTTATAGAGAGCGGTGCTTTTCTATTGGCTGCCGTCCCGTGTGTGTGTGTGCAGCGAAGCATTGAATAACTTGCACATTTGCGGCCAGCCCGGCTGAGGGAAAAACAAAGAGTTATGTAATGCTGAGGCCCACGCTGAGGGGAGAGGACAGGATGGTGTTGTGGAACATACATTCACACGGCCATGTAAATACTAACAGACATGTTCACACACACATCATGACTGTTTGTCTTCCTCATTTCTCTGTGTATCCTTCTGTCTGTCAGTGGCATGTTTTTTTTTTTAATGAACTGATGCTCTGCGGCTTGTGTGACTGCAATCTGGTCTTCCTGCGTAAATGTGTTTGTGACGGTTTCTCTTTCTTCGTTCGCCCTCACATGTCATTATCCTGCCGTACTGTGTGTGTTACAGGCAGCAGAAGCACACACTCCTGCCTAAACCCAACCTCCTGCTGACTTTTAAGAGGCGACTCCCCTGTAAAATAAAAAGGACTTTGTGGTTCTGCCTCAGTGTATAAAAATAGTTATGGAGCCAATCGTTATACAGTTGGGACTCTCTGATGTGTGACGTAGATTTATCTGGAAGATGGGGGAGGGGGACTCGCTGGCTGGCTCCTGCGTCAGCCAATCAGAGAGAAGAGAAGAGGAGGAACGAGAGAGGAAAGAGAAAGTGAGTGAGCAAAAACAAGAGAGAAGGAGAAGGAGGAAGAGATCAGGTCCTAAAATAGTAATACTACCATTAACAAACCAGGTCCAACCCTGTTTTTAACTTCTTTTTTTATTAATATTAGTAAAGAAACATTTCTCTGCTTCACCTTTAAAATCTCCATTCACTCTACTCTGTACAGTCAGGGGCCAATTCTTACTAATGTAATTTACTACTTTGTTGCATATCGAAAATATCTGAACACTGCATTTCTGAATATCCAGATGTATTTTAGTTGCAAATATTAGACATAAAAGCTTAAAAATTTAACAAAAAAAACTTTAAAAATACCAAGGTTGTGACCCTGTGACTTGGATGAACTCTAATCCTAGGAACTGTTCCATTAGTATTTCATGCCAGTCATTTTGAGTCTGCTGATCAAATGACCCACAGTCTGCAGTGGTGCTCGGCCTCCTGTTGTAGAGTTTTAGTAAAAACCAGAGGAGGTTTTGAAACATTTTTACATCAGCGTCAGATGTGATTTAATTTGGAGACGAGGGAGACTATAATCAGGACGAATGTGAGAGTGGAAGACATGTCTTCAGTGTTCTCCATCTCCTTCCTCCTCTGGGATTTAAAATGGGAGATTAAAAAGCTTAATTATAAGTGAATAAATATGACACTGTAGTTAAGAGGGAAAAAAAAATCCTCCCTCGTAAGACGTGATTCAAGTCTAATTAAAAGCACTTCATATCTGACTGCACAAGTAACAGGAAGAGAGAAATTGACTGCGGTATTTGCCAAATTTTTTAACACAATGTCAACTTCCACCTGTCATCTGCAGACATGGAGCTGTCAAGGCTGCAGTTGAACAAAGCTGGTTTAATTAATGCTGTACCCTGTCATTTTGCTGTCAACAATAATTTAAAAAAATAATACTCTGACTGTACATTTAAACTCAGGAGCGTCATTTATGTGCAGCCTCCCACAGTGGCACAATCAAGTCCTTACCTCCGTTGCTTTTTAAAACCTAGTTAATCATCGCTGCCTCTGCAGCTACTTAAACGGTTCATTGTGGGATAAGACATGCAGAAGAGATGGTGGTGGTGGTGACAGGGCAGCACACGGCTACGCGCCCCCGCTTTCTGCTACGGCAATTTATAATTCTCCAGCACAATGCACGGGGCGTAATTAAGGGAATGTGAAACAGCAAATTAATCTGTTATGAAATTACTGCCGCAACACTCCTTTATAATAACGCTATCCTTTATTGCGGTGTATACGAACGTCGCCCTGCCCTCCGTGAGAGGCAGAGAGTTGAACAGCACGAACAGCGCGGTGACCCCTGAGGCGTGAACTCAACTCCGAGGACTGTGTTCAGCATCTTGTTGAATTTAGGCCAAGATGAACTGAGTTCTGAAGAAAAAATTTTAAATACGTATATATTTTAAACCGGCAACACACAAAGAGTTGTTTTTTAATTACTTCAAAATACTTTATCTTTCACAATAAAAGCATGTCATTAGGCTGTTTTCCTTTTCGCACACACAAACCGCAAAGCAGGACATTCCTACTTAGCAGAATTCCAGAGAGTTGTTTGGTAGTACGAACACCAAAATTTTGACATTTAAATTGTTTTAGTGGGCGTAAAGGACAAGAGTAAGGCTGTGCGGTATTTGTTAGTATTAAAGTCGTGTGTTTGCCGGGGCACTGAATGTTTATATTCCACTTATGTTTGCTTGTGGAATTAGGTCAGTGAGGAAGTGAGTTTTGGGAGTGTGTGTGGGTCTGCACGTGTCTGTGTGTGTCCCTGTGTGTGTGTGTGACTAGAAATGAGCCAGGAGAAATGTCCTGAAAAGGGCCCCACACAGATGTGCCGGCAAACAGGAAACTGGAGGGAATTTTCACGGAGTTTCAGCAAACACCTCACCTCACTGAACTGAGCACTAATATAACGCGTCGTCAGAGCTCTTCACTCCGTCTTCTTGTTGTACGCTCCACATTCATCTGCTTTATCATTTTTTTTCCACTGCTGCACCTTCACTCTGTTGACACCAGGGTGGGTTTCTACGTTAGACCTGACAGAAGGTGGCACGGGGTTACTATGGTGTCCATGACTTCCAGGAAATCTCATGTGTATGGATGTCTACTCATTCAGCCTCCATGCTGGCCTTGTTCTCCTAATTAGTTCCCAGTGCACTTGACATTAGAATCAGACACAATCTGGTTTTCTTAGTCGATTGGCACAGTTGTTTTTCAGTTTGTTTGTTTTTAAAGATTTTAAAGCAACATATAGATTTAAAATAACATTTTTGCTAATTTTATCTAATATAATAATAATATAATATATATCTAAGAAATAATAATAATATAAAATACTATATTTAGTATTTCTTTTATTTGGATTTTATTCACATTATTTTACAACGGCTGAAATCCCAGTGGAAAGGCAGAGCAACACTAACAGTGCAAACCCCGACTACTGAACTGTCAAGAACGAGGAAATAAAAAGTGCAAAGGTCACAGTGAATTATTGGGAGGTACGAACAGAAGCCCAGAGATCAGGTGTACAGAAATCAGCCTGGTTTGAATGTGGAGAGAAAAGTCTGGTATGTAGGTCAATCCAGCACGACAACACAAGGTGGAGGAGCACAACACCGCACTGAGCCCAGATCACATTCATTAGGGCAGCAAACTGATGGGGGGAGGTGACTACAGGGAGGGCGGGGGGGGAGGGTCCCTGACAGTACAGTCTCATTAACTCAGTCTTTAGGGAGGGAGAGAGAGAGAGAGAGACCCATCAGAACACTGACCCTCAATGACAGAGTTCATAACAACGTAGGTCCACTACAGAGACCACTTTTTTTTTTCCACCAAGTTTGGAATTAAACCTCACACCTTTTTTTTTTCACCAAGTTTGGAATTAAACCTCACACCAACCAATAACCAGGTGCAACCACTAGGTTTAGTTCAACCACAAAACTTACTGTGACATCACACAGTCACCGTCAAATCACACCTCGTTCTTCTGCTGACATCAGCATACAGCAAAGCTAATCTGTTGATTCCAGCCAGTTGTTCTAATCAGATCATCCCTGCCCGCCTGTCCCTTCAAAAGTCCGTTAAGTCCCTCAACCATCTGCTCTCTCGGCCTCAACACGGGGATCTGTTCCTGTGCTAACTTTACCGCCTTACTGGGTTTTTTTTTTTCATAGAAGCATGAGGAGGTATTTTGCTCTGTTTTTTGTTTTAATCTCCGATATCCCTCCTCATCTTTACCCTCCGCCTGAAGAATCATTGGGGAGTCATGGGAAGACTTGTGGAGCAGCTGCAAGATCCCAGTGGTTCTTATTAGCCATATATGGACACCTGGTGTCTTTTCAGGACCACCTGCTTGGTGCTAATACTCTCAGTTTAGGTGGTGTATATGCTCTATATACAAACGAGACAGAAGTGTAACAAGGGGAAATAAGTCTTAGTGGCAGGAAAAGTACCCAAAAAGAGGAAATGACAAGAAACTCAATAACTCACCTTTGGTAGTCTGTTCTGTAGCCTGAAAGAAGGAAAAAAACAAATATTACCAAAAAAAGTCTGTGTCTTTCACAGCTGTTTGGACTCGTGACTAATCCAAAAAAAACGTCAAAAACCAAATATGAAAAAGTATGACTTCACATGTGTGAACATGCCTTCTAACTGGACAAAATTATTATTGTGAGTAAAAACATTAATTTCGAAAGCCTCTAGATATACATAATTAGGATAGTTATTAGAATTGAAACACACAAACAGTGACCAAACAGTGTGTTGTCATGTGATGTTTACCTTTTTCTGAGTGACTTCTTTCTTTTTCTTCTCTTCTGGCTTTTTCTTTTTCTTATCTTCCATCAAATGATTCTCTTCTCGTGTTTAGTTGCTTCTTCTAACAGCTGAAAAGCACAGAACAATTAGGAAACACTACGTTATATTACATCAGAAACGTCAGGCAGTATAAAATTGGTCACTAGATCTCAGTATTAATACCCACAGAAACAGTTCCTGTGTCTACTGTGAATTTAAAAACACTGTTTGTTTTGGGGCCTTCTGTGAACAGAGCTCTGAGTTTTTAAGGTGATAAATAATGGTTAAATAAAAATCAAGTTTAAATATAAAACATAGGGATATATGTTTTTTTAATCCTTGAGGTAAAATTGAACATTGAAGCATCAGTTTTTTTCAACCGTTCTGCAGGGAACAGAGTTCTATGTCACTGCTTGGCAACAAGTGCTCCCTGAGGCGCTGGTGGGCAGTCAGGTGGAGGCAGACTGCAGCTGTGGGCATTGCGTCTGGTTGTGGAGGTTCAATAAGGGAATTAAAAAATACTGAGAGGGAGGACAGAACCTGAATGAGAAAGTGCTCCTACAAATTGAAGCTTCCCATTAAGCAAGTGATATTGCAATGTGGCACAAGTAATGAAAATGGCCACAAAATACAGATGATGTGTAAAAAACTGCGACCTATTATCACTGTGATGCCAAGCTATTAGCCATTAGTAACAACAGAGAAAACAGTCCAGGTAAAAACAATTCACATTCAAAATGTTCAACTCCATTAATGGACTGACAAATTACAGTCTTGGTTCTTAGTTAGAATAAGGTTTTTTTTTAAACCCCAAATGCCCTTCCTGACGCAACTCAACCTTTTAATTCTGACCAGTTGGAATCGAACAGAGATGCTTCAGGATGGAAGCAGGCCTTCCACTGCTTCACACTTTTCCCATAAGTCTGATTCCCGAGATAGTAAACGACAAGGTGTGACATGACAAAATCTGTAAAAGTAAGTGAGGTTGTCGTAGCCAGGCTGTGATTGGATGATCCAATGTCTGAAGCAATGTTCTGGATCTATCTTCTGCAAAATGTATGTCTGATCTATTAACGATTAAAAACAAATTACACATTTAAGTTTTTATTTTTCAAGCCAAAATATATATACAAAAATCAGTGCTATACCAAAAAAAAAAGTTTTAAAAATAAAAAATAAACCTGAGTTAGGGTTGCTCATTCAAGAACTGACTACAGTACAGACTCGGGAAAAGGAGCTCCAAACACCAACCAATGCTGTTGGTCTGTGATCAAGTGGAGGCAATTTGATTTGACACAGAAACCCTGCTGCCAGTCTGGGCCTTTCTACCAGCTTTTACCTCCAACAGCCTGATATAGAGCATGCTGCTGCTGCTGCTGCTGCTGCTGCTGCTGCAGCTGCCAGTCTATATATAGCCAGTGCTGCTCCTTTCAAAGGAATCACTGGGCTTGCATTATGAAGGACCAGGGGGAAACAGAGATGCATCAGTTAATGTGAACTGCTGCTGGCCTCTGACCTGAACAAAGTTCGTCCTCGAGCACGACAATGGTTGAACAGGCAGAACATGGAACTTTTTATATTTGTATATTTGAATATACAAAATATACCTGTCTACCGAGTACGGTGAGTAACTAAGCTGTATAGAGTACTTATTCTGTGATCCAGGAATCCGAGGCTCAATTTGACTGTTTCCAAGGCCTAGTGGTAAGGGCTAGCTATTACGGGATCCAGGTTAAAGAAAAGACACATCTGACTACATCATACATCGGTTTTGTGGATGCAGCCTGAGCGTGACCATGTGCATCGGCGTGCACCAGGGAGGCTTGGAGACTGTCAACATGAAAGACGCACCCATGACCAATTAGCTCAGCTGTGTTGTGGAATTACTGCGTCCTGCCAGAACAACAGGATTACAGCGCCGTGTCCCTGTTAGATCTAGACACTCGCTCAAATGACAATAGAGAAGATTCAAAACAAAAAGTCTGGAGGAGTTGCTAACATTCATACCAAGGTGGAAATATCTTAACGCACCGGAATAAAGAGGTGAAGACAAAGGTGCTGCGGTTACTGGGGCAGACTTTTTGTTTTAGTTTGTCAGGGAAAAGGCGGCGAGCAGAGAGTGTCTGGGCACCGAGCCAGGAATCCCTTGACAACCAAAACAAGAGCACGTCAAGCCCTTTGGGAGAGTGACTGTTAGCAACCACAGCAGCAGCCACCGCAGCTATGGTAGGATGTGGAGGCCCATTCTTTTTGTCTGAACACTAACACATTTGGGCAATGTGGTTCTGAAATAGTACTAAAAATATCTCTTACATTGCTTTGTATGTCAGCGCTGAAACAACCAAACAGGAAAACCTAAGGAAAACTTGTCAGAAGGATTGTACATTTGTGTGAAGGTTAAAAACTGCTAGCTAAGCACTGACAAAGTCCTTGTGCCCTACAAAGAGGATTGCAGTCCCTTAAGTACCTGAAGCTATTCTCAGTGTGGTTATGTTAATACGCTCTGAGTCAAGCAAAAGACGAGCAAACAGTAACCAACGCTATGTAACACATCTGGGGTTTGGACTGAAAAAACGTTTACCACGTTTGTCTTCTATGCCTCGTACCTTTAGAAAAACTGACTGCAGCACATTCCCTACATCACCCCAGTCCTACAGGCAAACAGAGGAACTGACAATAAGGACGTCAACTTCTACCTGCCCGAAACACACACACACAAAAAAACAATCTCTGGCTAAGTGAAACTAGTTTTGGAGCAGAACTGACAAAAAGCGCAAAAATCCTCCTTTTCACTAACAGCAAGCTCATCACTTTCACAGAGGAGCCTCACTAATCAGCCGATCAATGGAACCCAACAACACACCAAGTCAGAGGACGCTACCTGGTCCCACTGCCTCACCGGTAGGTAAAGGCCAATTGAGAGTTTTCATTCTGAAAGAAAGACTATGACCTCAGCTGTATAGTAATCACTGTATTTAGTGGCCTGTTTTTGTTATCAAGCCCCCTTTTGGCGCCTCTACACACACTGCCTCTTTCAGAGGCATCAGTGCTGACTGGGGCCCCTGACCTGGCAGGAACAGAAAATACCCCCACCCCCTTCTCTCCCCTGACAGGCACCGCCACTTCATCCCTTGCCAGACCCAGACCCAATTTAGGGACTCTAACACATCAGTAAAAACCAGCAGGCCTCAAAGCTTACGTCAACCTGCCCTCGCATGCACACGGGTGCAGGCACTCCCGGGCTACACACACTGCTGTCTTCATAAAGAGTGTGTGCCACTGCAGGATGTCAGGCTGCAGCAGCAGTGAGGGCTGTCTCCATGGTGGCACAGGAAGCAACACAACATTAACACCAGTGATGGCCCTTAATGTTGTGGCACACTGTCTTGACTAAATGAGGTCATGAAACCAGGGGAATAATAAAAACTAAAAAGTTGTGGTTAGTCTGTTGATCGATGTTGTGAATTATCAGTTGTTGTCAACCGGCCTAGAATTGTACAAACAGATCACTTTAGGTTTTTATACTTCTAGTTTATGGTAAGGAAGGAAAGAACCAGCCTGAAAAAAAACAACAACAAAGGTAACTGAAAGTTCAATACAACAACTAAAACTACAACAAAGGTAACTGAAAGTTCAATACTGGTTTCAGAAGGAACAAAAATGAATTATCAAAAAGAAGCTACTTCACTTAATTGGCAAATTTAAATATACGTTTGCTTTTTTTTTGTCACCTGCAAAAGAATACAATATCAAGGATAAATTATTAGCATCCCTCCCTCATCCACCATAATGGCCTGGTTTTGAAGCCAGTTTTACCCCATAGTATTTGAGCCCCAAGTTGTGATTCACAGCCCAGATATTTGCTGCCAGTATAAGGGTGAAAAAAGTAAAAAGTCTAAATGTCAATATGCAAATTATCTGCTGCAAAACTCAGAGACGGTCCAGCTTAATGATCACGCTTTCTCTACTCTGTATACACTCTGTACTACATTTTCAGAACCTGCATCCTACACACCTCTGTTGACAAGTGAGAGGTGGTTTTTTTTAACCATGCTATTATATCATAAGGTTTTGACACCATGAAAGTGTTTACCTCTTTTTGAAACCACAGTCACCATGCATCTTCTATCAGTGCAAAAGTCAGATTGACATGTGATTGGAAATTTTAGACTCTGCTGAATCCTAATTGATTACTTATGTCAAAAAAAGTTGTTGTTAAAAAAAGTTGTTAAAAGCATTAATAGCATTTTAGCAATGGATGCTAATAATCTTCTTATATGTGTTGATCACTTCAAGTGGACAGTGCTGAATTAGACGCTGAATTAGACTAAGTTTTGTAAACAGCTACAAGTACAAACTTACCCTGACAAGTATCACTGGACGAGGTAAAAGCAAGGTAAACAAAGGTGTTTATATGGACTATAGGAGGTAAGTTGACCACTAGTTGACAGCATCAATCAATACTGAATTGATGCTCGTGGCACACACTACAATTGTAATAAAATAAAATAAAAGAGAGAGGCTGCACATCAGGTCAGTGTGAAGCCTGAGAGACATACTTTCGTTTTAAACAAACAAGAAATGATGCTCTTAACTTGATGTTTGTATCTTCTGCAGAAAAGGAAGCCACTTTCCAAACACTACTGTTTACATGTAGGACAACAGCAGCAGCAGCAGCAGCAGCAGATGCCTGACTTTGTCAGTAAATGACCATCAGAATGGATAATGACACCCAGGGTCAAAGCACCTGGACAGGGATCAAACCACCAGCTATAGTTATTGCATTCTCTGTCTGTCTGCCGATGCATGTCAGCTCCAGGCTGCCTGCAACCAACAATTTTTGCTTTTCCAAAATAACGACAAGTCAACGTTGCAAAGGCACGGGGTTGCCCTTGAAACATTTGCAACCCGCTCAAGTTACACACTGTGCACAGCAAAGCCACTGTATCCGTGTTAAAGTCGAATCTGTGTTCGCTTGCCTTTCAAAGAAAAAACACCAGAACGGCGGACTCTGTGGCAACGTCCGCCGATAAAAGCAGAGAAGACGACACTGATGTCAAAGTAGGCTGGAGCTCAAAATATGTTCGCAGCAGCAGCAGCAGCAGCTGCCATTTTCAGCCACCAAAAGCCCGAGTAATTCCTTCAGCGTGAAGCTGCGTAGAGACGCACTGCTCCGTGAATGCAACCGGACGGAATAATAAATCCTACCATGAAGCGCCGGGACCGCGGCGGCGGCAGCGGGGGAGCCTCTGCAGCCATTTTGTCGTAACTGACCGGAGCTGGAGCCCGAGACGGTTGAATTAGTGATAACAGGAGGAGGAGGGAGGAAGGTCGGTGAGGAGTGGGGCGGAGCTTCACCTTGCCACGTGACCTTCAATAACAAAACAAACTACCCTTCCTCCTCGCCTCCCTCCCCGCCCCTTCGCGTCTCCATGACAACTACGGTCCTTCTTTCCGTGGCTTCGCAGCACTGATGCACCCGCGCACTCGACACGTGAACGCGCAGCCGCCTCAGCAGCACATATGCAGCGACACCACAAAGTAAACAGCTGTACGCGCAACACACAAACCAGCCAGTGACAATTAGTGTGGTGCGACAACGGGGGGCTACCAACAGAGGGCGCACTTTATGGCGATACCTTTAGTTGCTGGACTGCTTCTTTATTTGCTTTATTTTGGAAGTTAAAAATATCTTCAAAACAATTCATGAGTAAGCCAAAACGTTAGCCAGACTAAGAAATAAACATTTAACACAAAATTAAATTTAAAAGAATTACTGTGTGGTGTCTGACATGGGTTTAAGACAACAGACAACAGTGGTACGGCAAATATGCTTCTAAATATGCAACTATCATGCTTGTGGCTAATAGCAATATCAGGGTATACAGTATTAAACATTAATTCAGCTGCTATTTATTTGTTTTCTACAAACATGCTGACTATAATGTACAGACTCACTTCTTATTCTGCAGAGCAACCAACCCAGACACATTCTAGATTTCCCCTTGCATGACATCATTCATGACATTCATGCAAGGACAGTGCTACGAGTGATTTACAATAGAAACAGGAAATGATACTGGCATGACAAAAAAGGACTTGGTTTCTGCTCAGTTGATGACAACAATTTGTATGATGAACTCTGTGAGATGTCAGACGATAAAAGCAGGTTATAGTCTGAGATAGAAAGTAAATAAACATGATCCGTTTGCTTACGTGGCCATCACTTAACAACTCAATTTATCAAGGCTGAAAGTGAATCAGTGTCAGTGTCTGCACCTCGTTAGGCCAACCAGGTTCACTGTGAATGGGCCTCCAGTGGCTTCTGATGGGGAAATGAATGTGAGAATATGAAATGGTAAAAGCCCACACGAAATGACCGTGAGTCTGATTACAAAACAGGATGATCACCGATGTGTGTCCGCAATTATAGAACCATCTGTACCAGGTGTCACTGGTGTGTCTCACGCAGTAGCTCCAGCCTGTGGACAACTGCAGAGATGTGCATTACTGTAGCATAACACAATTATCCAGTCTGTACGATGATGGAGTGCAAGAGGTGGAGAGGAAGGGAGTGGAAACACTAATCATGTACCATGGTGATGGATCGCCTCTGTGTCATGTAGATATAAATAATCTGTTGCCCAAGTGCTTTTTCAAACTCTCTCTCTCTCTGTGTGTTCGTGTGTGTGTGTGTGTGAACTCCCAGCCTGTTGCTTAAAACACCTGTGTTATTTCTGAACATCATGGCAGCTGAATGGAGAACCAACTATAATGAGAAGGTCAAAGAATTGATCTTTTAGCCATCAGGTTGTGGACGTATGATCCCTGCCTTCAATAATTTACATACAGATGTGTCCCTGGGCATGACACCTAACCTTTAGTTGCTCCTGGCAACCATGCCAAGTAGCTAGGAAAGGATGAGTGTGCTGCAATGGATGAGTGCATGGAAGGCAAACTGAACTTCTAGTCATTTCTTTGCTTTTCATGCAGTCAGATCAGACACGAGCATTTCGTAGTTACCAGTGAATAATAATGATAACAATAATAATATTACTAAAAGGCAGTGATTAATTGGATCAATGACCTATTATAAAGGCAGTGATTAATTGGATCAATGACTGACTGAACTGATGTCTCTTTATATAACACTGGTGTTTGTGCTCCAGATGCAGAAAGAGTTCACGCATTAACAGAGATACAGTCGATGTCAGATGTTAGCCGTGTGGGTGAGCAGTAGCAGCTGCTGCTGAAGTGTCACTTCACACTAATCAGATTTTCAGTAACTGTGTCCCTGTATGGATTTGAATGATTGGACTGCACCAGTTAAACCAACGACAGATCACATCATCTGTGTGTTATTTGTCTTCAGTCCTGTTTCTATCCTGTCGTTCATCATTTATCCTCTGTCCATCTATCTTTCCACGATCATCAGTGCACCGTCTTCACAACTCATTTTCAGCTAAACAACACACACACACACACACACAGCCTCTCTCTCCCACAGAGGAGGAACAGAGGGAGGGAACGACGCCGCAGAGACAGGCTCCAGGATCCTGTCTCTTCATCATCTTTCAAAGTCAGTGCATCCCATCACTGGCTGTACCCACCAAGGTCTCTCCTCCCCCAGTTTGTGGGGTGGGTGTGGGGTGGAAGATTGGCAGGTGGTTGGCAACACTGCAAGTGTCACCTCTCCAACAACTATGTACGATTGTGTCTATTTTTATTTGGAATGAGATTAAGGTCCTGGGGGCCAGAGATACCACCCTGCTGAAAGGTAATGAGTCTTTTCTACTGAGCAAACAGACATTCAGCCTCACAATGGCTGCAGTCAATGTTTGTCTGCCAATCATGATTATGATCAGCAAGAGCAGGAGACTAGGAGTGCACACACACACACACACACGTACACACAGATGTGTCTATTCATACAACACCTTCATCATCACATACAGACTCTTCCTCCATCAGGGATCACCACAGCCAATCATCTGCATATGTAATTTGGCTCAGGTTTTCAGAAACAATGGGCTCAGTACTGCAGCACGAGCTGGTGGTTAGATTGTTTCAAGTTGAATCCCAGGAAGTCAGGGGTCACTGAGGTCACGGCCAAGATGGCTTTCATTGTAACAGTTAGTTTTATTGCCATTCTATTGAATTAAAATACGTTTTACACACTGCATTCTCTTATTATCTATATTATCTGCTAGCTTTGTTGCTAATCTATGACACATACACTGCATTCTCTTATTATCTGTGGCGTCACAGCTCCTGGCTAGCTTTGTTGCTAATCTATGACACAAGGGGCAGTCACTCAACAATTAGGAGCTAAAAGAAATGAACAGAGCAGACCCACCTCCCAAAAAAATATATTTATATATATAAATATAAATATATATACAGGACACAGAAGATACACAGACTGAATGTGTGGTCAGTCCAGTTCTTTAGATTGGAAGATCTCTCACACACACACACACACACACACACTGACATTATATTGTCGTCCTCTCCCCTCAGCGTCCACGCGTCAGCGTGATGAATGTCTCCTTCCTGTGAGTGACCTTCAAGGT